TTTCTGAATCTTCTACCAGGAATACACCCCCTCACAATGTTTATGGACATGCCTGCCAGTTGTTTTTCTTTCTCCTGAAAGAATATGAGGCAATTACCCCTCTGAAGCCATAGGATAATGCTATGCTAAATTGGTTTGAAATAGAGTTTTTTTTGGTAATTTTTCTGAAGGTGGTATAGCCAGCAAGCAAATATTCTAATGAGGAAGCACATATAGTAACATATGTTACAGCAGACTTTGCATTTTTTAGTAGCAGAGCTGACTGACTGAAAGAATTTTAGCAAATTTTCTGTTATAAAAAACCCATGTTACTGACAAACAAGTATTTGAATGTCTCTTTCTAACAAACAGTAGTTCTCCTGTGATAACATTTGTTTCCTCTGTCCCTCTTTCACTGGACTCCAATGTTCTTCCTTGTATTTGTTCTGAAAGGCTTCCTTTCTGTAAGCCTGTGCTTTTCCATTCATCCACCCATTCCTTGAAACACCCTTCCTGTAGTATCACCCCATTGTGTAGTGTGTCATTTAGTTTCTCTAGGTTCTCTTTTCAATGTGACTGGCAGAAATCTGTGTTTTGTAGTAAGAAATTGTTGGAGGTTTTCAGTTTGTCTCCCCTTTCTCCTGTGAGATAGTATAAGGTTTTTATCAGATTCATTTTTCAGTACATTTATGAAGTTGTTTCAGGAAACAAGGCCTTTTTTTATCTTGAGGGAAAAAGTGGCAGTTGACTGTTAAAATGGAAATAGGTGCTTGTGATACAAAAGTTAGTACCAGTGCTAACAGAGTCCTGCTCTGTACACCTGTTGTAAAGAAGGGTTTAGGATTCTTTGCCTTGGAAGCTTTTTCAGCCTCCACTTCCTAAGCTGTGTTTATTGCCTGGGGCATGGAGCAGGGCAGAGAAGGACTTTATGTGTGTGCTAAGAGTCTGCAGCCTTGTGCCTGCTGTGTGGATCCCTGCAGGAGCAGTGGTGGCTGTGTGTGCCAGGCCCTTCACAGAATCCTGCAACAATAACCCTTGGCATCCTCTTTTCCTAAGTCTTGTGGGTATGGAAGCACTAGAACCAAGTGGGAAGAGTTGTGGGTCATTTGGGGCTACATGGGAGGTTCTTTGGTAGAAATGATAGTAATAGTCTAGGAAAGAAACTGAGATTTAGAATCTGCTCTAAATCAGGCTGCAACCTCTTCTGTTTCACTTAAGGTAAGCATGAATTTAGAAGTGCCATGGAAATCAGCTCCATGAATGCTGTGTACTGTGGGAATACACATGGCAGCAGCCACTGCTAGTGCAAGGACTAAATTACCTTAGCCTGCTTTCTCCATGTTGTCAGACAGCCTGCAATATATCCCTGGAATTCACCTTCCATTAACTTTTGACTCTCCTCAACAGTTATATTTCCTTTACAGGACTTTAACCCTCAATAGTCCATCCTAGTTTTTAATATTATCTCTTTTTTTTTTCTTTTGTATTTTGTGTACTTGCCTCGTTTATTTTCTTTTGTTGTGTTTTGTTTTGTGTTTATGGCCATGTTCCCATTTCAGAGACCAATGTCCTCTAACTGATGAGCAATTGGTTTCAGGGTAAGACCAAATGTTCTAAACAATCACTTTTGTCTAGAATGGCTTTCTTTTCTCACCATCCTTTTAATTGTGCTTTTGTTTCTGGTTTCTGTTTTACACTGAATGATAAGAAAATGATATGCTAAATCACAGTGTCTGTAGGAAATGTGTTGCTAAAGGTTTGTGCCAGGATAATTACCAAGGTCCTACTAACATCTCTGTGCTTCCTGTAGGGAATCCAGAATGGGTGTGGCACTGTCCCGTCTGTGAATTGGGAAAAGCTGGGAGACTCTGGGAAAGCAACAAGTATGGCCTTGGCATTGTAGTTATTCCAACAATGAGCCCTAAATCAAATTGTTTTTTGAGGAGAAATGACTTGAAAGTACAGATCAGTGAGTAAACTATTTAATCCCAGGGTAATGATGGAGAGCTCTTTAGAGGACCCAGGTTTGTGGGTGGTTGCTTGTTCTTGGTGCCCCACTCAGCTAAATGGGATGATTACACACATGGAGGGGAAAGTGCTTAACTCCAGGCCTCAGAAGGAAAAAAAATAATGCATCCCTAGTCCCCGCTTAACACATAAGCCTCACCTACATACTCAGATCCTGATCTAAACTACTTCAAAGAAAAATTCTTTATAAAAAGCTTGCTTTGAATTCCTGTGGCATATAAAAAGTTATGATCCATTCTTGGGGGAAGAAATGAATTAGTGTTTGAAACTTCCCCCCTTCTCTTCAGTGTGCTGTTGCTATGTTGTGCTCAGGAGACAAGAGTTAGAATATTTTGGACAAATCAAAGCTTTTTGTTTATTGTTTATTCTTTCTGCCTGCTGAATTCCTTAATACAGAAGAGGTTTGCTTTCCCCTGGAATTCACAATGCTCAGACTAATCTCATAAAAGGAGAAGGGTTACTACCCAACTGCAAAAGCTAATCTGCTTCTAACAAATTCTTGGGCTCTCAGAAGCCAGTGTTTTTAGGTCATCTTAATGTACCCCAGAGGTGGGAAAACATGTACTGAAATATTTACAGTAAAAGAGTTACTTTCTAAGCTGAGGTCACAAATTGAAGTAATGGGAATAACACATCTGTTCCTTGATTTCTCTATTGTCCTGAGACCTATGGAATGTCAAAATTATGTAGAGCACTGGGGATTAAAAAAACTCAGAGAGCAAAAACTATTAATCCAGGCAGTCAGAGGAGGAGAATGGGGCTGGAGTCCAGGTGACTCTTGGGAGAACCTATGGTGATAGGAGGTGCACCTGTGTCAGGATTATCTGTCCCTGATCATATCCTCTGGCTGCAATTCCAGTACTCTCCCAGACAGAGAAGTACTGGATGTCTGTCACTTCTGCTAGTGAGAAGATTCTGAGGACTTTCCAAATTCAGCCTTTTAATCTCTTCCTCCCCAGAAAGCCACATGCAAGGTAGGGCAGACAGGGGCTGTTGGTGTCAAGAGCTGTCCTGGGAAACTGCCAAATTCCTATGTTTAGCACCACATTTATCTGTTAAAGGATCTGCTGGTGTAATTCCTTGTGGAAGTTATCAGAATGATCAGTTTATCAGCTCCCAGGTATCCTTTGCCAAGGCTGGAGGAGGGAAGGGTAACTAATTTCTTATTAGGAAGCCGACATTTTCTAGTTTGCCCTCCTTCTCCCTTCACCCCCCAAAACATATGCTCCTTTTGGATCCACTGCTATTCCCATCTTCCTGGCTCCATGAGGAGCCTATTAACGAGCAGCTGAACAGGACAAAAAGAGAAAGAGAAGCTCACTGCTGTCATGGTGACTTTTTTTCCTATTTTGAATGTTATCTCCAGGGACTGGCAGTCCAGGTCCTGTTCCAGGTTGCTTTGCCCTTTCCTCCCAAACTTCCCAAGCTGTGCAGCCCAGTGGCTGAGGAGCATGGGCTCAGTGGCCCCAGGAGTCTCTGGCTAGTCTCTGCTTGCCCTTAGTTTGGAGTTCGGAGCACAGCAGTCATGGATTTGCAAATTTGTACACAGCTGCTCCTTCCATAAACCAAACATAAGCAGTGTGCTGTGGTCAGAGTGACCTGTTTGTACAAGCACCAGGGCCTTTGGCAGTTTTGACCTGTGTGGTCCTTCATCTCCAGTATTTGTAAATAAAAGAAATTCCCCATGTCCTTGAGTGCATTTGTCTTAATTTCTGTAGTACTCCATGACTCAGAGGGAAGCAGGACTAAGGTACATTAATTGCCTCTCTGGGTATGGAGGGCTCACTTGTGGCCAAGAGATAAGGTGAGCACAGCACACACCCATGCCTGCCCTCCTCTCTGAGTGATACTGGGTTATCTGGGATACCTGCCTGCTGTGGGGGGGTGGTCTGGCAGGGACACACATCCCTGGGTGTAAATACACAAAACAAAATAAACATTTTCATTCTTAAAAACCGACTCTTGTCAGAAAGTAGTTTGAAATTCATTTGCTTAAATAGGAGCCTCTGGGAAATCAGATGAGGAGAGGACTTGTTAATAACAAGCCTTGCACTGCTCCTATTCTTGAGCAACAAGGATACTCTAACAGCTGAGGTTCTCTTCCCTGTGGGTTTGGGCTTCACTGTCCCAGGGGACACCTTGAGGAGAACAAGTGTTGGTGGAGACCAGACCAATGTTGCCAGGCCACCGGAGAGAGCAGTTGTGGAAATCCTCCCTTGTCACACTGGATTTTTAGCTGTTTTTGCAGCAGTGGCTGTGTTTCACAGGGCAGACCCCTTGTAGAGACCTGCCCTCCTGTCTCTCAGCTGCTGCCTTGCCCCCACAAGTCCAGAGCAATTCAGTAACCCCATGGCTGGCATTGGGAAGGGCCTGCCCTGTATGAATGTGATTTATCAAATAAGAAAGCTCAGGTGAGGCCAGGCAGCTCTTGGAAGGTGCCAGTGGTCTGCTGAGCAGGGCTTGAGATCTGTTAAGTGAGGAACTTGAAATGTCACTGATGAGCTTTGGGAAAGGAAGGACAAGCATTGGTTGTGTTTCTTCTAATTGAATCAGCTCTTTCTTGCCTTCCCCTCTGCCATACTGGGTGGCTTAAAGATCTCTGTTGTGCTTGAGTGACAGGCTGTGTCAATATGTAGTTGCTTAGTGAGTTCATTAACCTGCAGCTAAATCCAGACAATGGCTAACTCCAGCTGTTTTTATATTTAAGCAAACTGCATCTAATCTTTTCAATGTATTTTGCTGAGCATGTAATTAAATGAGCATGACCCTGCAGTCTTTGTTGTGAATGCTTTGTGTTTTATAATTGTGATGATCTGAGGGATGTAATTTAGGGGTCCTTAATTTTCCATAATTGGTGGTACTCCAGGTACAGCAATCTAGTCACAATTTACAACGCCTTAAAATCTTCGGAGTTAAATATATCCATATTTGGAGGAATATTTTGGGGGGATGCTTTTTGAAAACTGTAATAACTTCTGTTTCTGCTCTTCAAGGTTTTCGGATGTCATCCTGGCAACAATTTTGGCTACCAAGTCAGATATGTGTGGCAAAAAGTTTGAATTGAAGATTGATAATGTTCGCTTTGTTGGCCATCCCACCTTGCTCCAGCATGCTCTCGGGCAGGTACAGTATGAGATCCCCTCTGGGGACCTGCATTCTTCACAAACTGCCTGGCTTTAGTGGGGAAACCTGGAATTCAGAATGTGCATGTTGGCTCTTGGTCCTGGTTTTACTTCCTGATGCTCCAAGCTGTCTTTTGCTTACTTCTGTGTTAATGGAGTGAGTGACAAACTGAGGGAGCTGTCAGTGATCACAGAAACTCTTCTGGTTACTGTAGGGAAGTAGTGTGAGTAAAGAGAATTAAAATTGGGCACTCCAGCTTGAAAAGCTGTTTCTCACTATTTTAGTTACTGCAAGTTAGCTTTTAGCACCTCTAATTAGTGTGGTAGTTAAAAAAACACACTGAAAACCTTCACAAATGCTAAAAGCTGCGTCAGCCTTGTTTGGCTTTTAACTTTTCCCGAGGCTGAAGATGATCCACAAGACTTAGATGGAACATGTAGGGTGTTGAAAGAGATCTAAGGTTTTCTTGTGGACCAGGTCAGGCTGCTGTTTGCATTGAGACCTTCTTCCATGGCCTATGTTTTAGGAGCTCAGAATGAGAGCAGTTCTCTACCTGGGCTATGTAAAATGCCCTGCTTAAATCCAGGAAAGAGTTCATGTGCCTCTGTATCCTCATATTCTGTATCCTATTCCTTCTTCCTGATCAACTGTAGGAACGAACTAGGTTTTGGTAATTTCTGAATCCACACTGATCCCTGTCACTGAACTGCTTTGGTCTCATTTTTCATCAAATTTGCTAAGTCATTCCTTTTTTTCAGGGGAAAAAGAAGTCTGCTTGCCAATTCTGTCCTGCTTTCTAGCTATAATTAGAGGTGGAAACAGCTTTTTGGTAACTGCTTCTTGATATTTAGAGGACCAGACTGCTTTAAACCCAGCAAGGAGCTGGCCTAAAGCATCAAAAGATGCTACTTTGGGAACTCAGTTGTGAGTCTACATTTTGGAAGACAGGATTCAAGTGTGCCCAAACTGTGCAAATCCATCAGCAGCCCCAGACAGGGCAAATGGTGAGCCAGGCCCAGGGTCTGTACTGGGACCTGAGACAGGACAAGGGTGGCATGTACTGGACCAAGGGTCCATCCTGGAGACAGGCACAGCTCCAGGCCCTGGGCTGAGCTTAACTGGGGCTCCCAGCTGTGTGACTGGGGGTAGGGGTGTGTGTGGGAACCCAGCTGGGACTGGCCAGGGACATGAAGACCTTTTGGTGCCCTCAAGGCTCTGACAGCAGTGGTCTGTTCTCCCTCAGATAATTTTCCTTTATTTTACTAATCTCATCTAAAAGGCCCAACTTCCTAAATGTGCTGTAAATGAGGTTGAAAATTTGTATTTGCATTTTTTTCACCACTTATTATTGTACATTCTTTCCAGTCAGTTTAATCCTAATTGCATGAAATGTCACTTCTAAATAAAATTGCATCTTGGCAAATAAAGTTATAAAGAGCTGTAAACAATTCCTTTGTTACTTCAGAAGGAACTTCTTTTTGAGTGTGTCTTATCACCCCAGGAGGCACCCCAGAACTTTCTAGAGTCAAGAATCTTCTAGATGTGGCAGCCATCTCTCCTGGTTTGTGTCAGTCTAAATTTGGGACCTTCCTGCAGTTAGGAGGAAGCCAGATGGAGCTGCTTTTCCATGGAGCTCAGGCAGTGTCTGGAGTAACCCAGCAGCCTCTGCTTTACATTTCCTCAAAGTTCATACTGCAGTAAATTAATCCACAGGACAGCTCAGCAAATTCTTACTCTGATGAGATTCAGGAGTTACAAGAGCACAAACATTTAATCCTGTGTGCCAGATTGCTTTTTTCTGTAGCAATGCTCTGAATTCTTCAAATTCCTTCAGCATTTTCTTTCCCATCTCAGTCTTCTTTTTTTCTGGTCATGAGGTGATATGAAATCTAGCCTCTAAATCATCCCAACTGATGTTAGTGGTGGTGTAGTTTCTTTGATTTTAAGGAAGGGACAGGATCAGTCATTACACTTGGGAATTCACAAGAGATCCTGGAACCTGTAACTCCAGAACAGATAAACACAGTAACTGCCTTTACCACTCTCCCATCACTGCCTTTCTGACAGAATGTAATTTTCACTTTAGGGAACAAAAGAAAAACCAAAAAATACCTACCACCTCTTAGTTTTCTAAATTTTGAGATTCCTGAGTGCAGGCAGTCAGATTTTGGAGTTCAGTCCCAAGCAGTGCCCTGCTGGTGCTCAGAATCTATGGGGAAGAGCAGATGCTGTTCTGTATTTGCCCTGGCTCAGGTATTGCACACACTTCAGGTAGAGACCAACTATTGTTTGGCCTGGCAGGTTCCAGCTGTTTGCACTTGGGATTGGGTGGGTGTTGAGCAGGGAGCTGCAGGGGAGGTGGGAATGTCCTCTGCATTTTGTGCTCCATCTTGTGGTGACACGTGCTCCCTTTGGAGTTGGTCTCGCTGTGCAAATTCCACTTGCTTGTCTAAACTGTTTCTTCTCACTGGAAAGTTTGAATCTGCCTTAGAGATGGAGCTCTCTGCTACAAAGAGGATAGAGAGGCTGGATAATGTGTTTGAAATCCTGCAGGAAGGGAAAAATCAAACCTTTTATTTTAGAACTGCTGTTCTAGAACATATTTTGTCTATAAAAGCAGCAGCTTGTAACAGGATGCTACAGGAATTTAGGAAAGAAAGGAATAGGTGTGGCCTGAGATGAGAAATCTGTGGAATTCTGTTGACAGTATATCTGACACCTGTGCTAAAGAATTTAAACCCAAGGCCCCTAATGATGCTAAATATATTAACAAAGACACTAAGTAAGAATGCTGTCTTAACTGACACTCATTTCCATGCTTGTGACCAAAAGGCTTTGGTTTAATTCTTCACAGCTTGCTCAGCAAAGGCAGTGTTACAGAGTAACTGTGACACTCCAATAAAACACAAAATCATAGTTCTAGTTTTTGCAAGTCACATTTGATGTTATAAATTGGTTTGTCTGCTCTCTTTTCACAGCTTGTTATTTAACTTGGACTTTTTAATGTTTTTTTTTATTACTTTCCCTTTGTTACTGTCTCCAACTGACAATAGCTGATGGGATTTTCTAAAAAATATTTTTCAGGTATCCAAAACTGACCCCTCACCAAAGAGAGAGATGCCCACCATGATTTTGTTCAACGTGGTGTTTGCACTAAGGGTAAGGACTGTCTCCATTCCATCTGACAGTGGGATGTGCCTTGGATCCATGAGAGAATGCAGTGGGCTCACACTCCAGGCTTGTTCTATGATTAATGGCCAGTGTTTGAAAGCTGCCTCCTCTCAGCAGTGAGGTCACTGTAAAGGGAGAGTGCCAGGGAGCAGCAGCTGAGCAGCTAAATGAGAAGAAGGTACAAGAATAAAGAGGTTTCAATGCTCAGCAAAAACCTGGAACAAACACATAGTTTCTGCCTGGAATTTTTTCAGGCTTCCTCTATTAATGAGATGCTGGTGTTAAGGGATCCTGGCTTGACTAATTAAGTGTATAAAGCCCTAGAAATTTCATTATGTTCAAGCATTACTTGATTTTTGAGCTCTGGCTTTCTTTTCCCAGTCCACAGGTCATTTAAAAATAAAAGAGGGAGCTGGAATAGTCTTTATGGTTGATTTTTGCTTGACTGGATGTAATGCCATGGTTTAAAAAGCTCCAGCTCCCTGCTGGTGAAAGGAACTTTTTTTCCTTTTTAGCACTAGTACATTTCTTACCACTGACTTTGCAGTGGTGACATGGACATGGCCCCAGCCTGCATGGCTTGTCCTGAGATGAGGAGCAAGATTTCACACAATTACCCAAATCAAGCAAGAAATTGTTTACAGAGCTCTGCTGGGAATCCAGTGTTCTGGTGCTTTAGGACACTCCTGGGTCATGGAGTGCTGAATTTGCAGTGGAGGAGTTGATTTTAGATTTCACATGTTAAGAGATGTTGTTTTGGTGAATTGTTAAAGCCCTGTTCTTTGCTTGCAGGGAGATGTGTGCAGATGCACCTGCAAACACACACATTAATGCACACTGAGCCCTGTGGCAGCAGAAGAGTTGAAACCAATGCTCTTTCATTCACAGTGAAGACTAGCCTATATTTTTCTGGAATCTAATTTCTGGTGTTTCTAGGAAAGCTTGCTTTCTTTGCCCTTCAGCCATGTGATGATACCGATGTAACTGTGTGTGTGATGCAGCACCAGATCCATTTGCCAAATGAGACTCTCTTAGTTCACAGGGAACAGTCAGGTTTCTGGAAAGCAATGGGCAAGAAGCAAGTGGAAATTTTTTCCTAGGATGGAGTAGTGCAGTGCAGGAGATGGGTGGAGGCCCTCAGAGATAAAGATGAGTGCCCATCTGTAGTGGGCAGACAGAGCAGGCAAAGGCCCAAGTGTGATAATCAGCTCTGATCCTGCTGTGTTTGAGCTTCAGGGCTACCGACGTGGCGTGACTCAGCAAGAACAGTGGAGTCAAAAAACTGATGAGTCACGCTTTGCTGGTTTCTCTGCCAAGTGGTCACTTGCCAGAACTTTAAATTCCTTTAAATGTCTTAACAAACATGAAGCAGTTGCTGACTCATGCTGGAGCTACTGAATTCCCCCCACCCCCCCTTGGCAGCTGTACTGATGTGATAGATTTTTCCAGCACTTTCTTTCTGGGGCTTTCATAAATGCAGTGTCAGTAATAAGCCATATTTGTGAATTTTTTGGGAGCGTATATCCAAATTAATTCAGATTTGGGATGAGAATGTTGGTCATGAACTGGTAATTGTTACCTAGTTGCTGCCTTGTCTGTACATAGGACAAACACCAGTGTGGCAACGTGGAGTGAGTGGGACATGTTAGAGCACTGCAGCCCCTGTGCTGCCAGTGAGTTTAACCTGAACTTTGGGATATTCTGCCTTTTCAAATAGCTTGACACTTTCTTGTCTCACTGTGTGAAGTTGAGGTCTTTGCTCTCTTCTAGTAAAAGGCCTACTAACAACTGGAAAAACAAACCAGATGGGATTATCCTGCTCCAGGTGTGGTGCTCCTTTGATGCACATAGACAAGCTTAGAAATCCAGATTACATTTGGATATTGCTGAGCTTCTGCTTGGTTGTGGGTAGAGAAAATTCTGTTCTTATTCTGTTCTTATTCCAGTCTGATTTTTGGTGTCAATGGAAACCCATTTGCCTGTTCCCCATCATCCCTGTAGCTCCACGTGGCCGTGGCTCAGTGTCTGCCCGTGTTCCCCGCAGGCCAACGCGGACCCGTCCGTGATCAGCTGCCTGCACAACCTGTCGCGCAGGATCGCCATCGTCCTGCAGCACGAGGAGCGCCGCTGCCAGTACCTCACCCGCGAGGCCAAGCTCATCCTGGCCATCCAGGACGAGGTGTCTGCCATGTCAGAGAGTGAGTGCTTGCAGCAACAGTGGCTCTGGCCTGAGCACTCCCTCAGGGAGGTGCTGATTGTGCCTGGGATCACTGTGAACAAGTTTTGGTGCTCTGTAGCATTCTGACAGCTTTTCCCTGCATTCTCCCTCAGCCAAGTTCACTGTCTGTATGCAGAGATGTGAGTTTCAGAGGTGGAGTAGTTTGCTTTCTTTGCCAGTTAAGTTCAGCACAGTCCCTGGAGACTGTGCACTGAGGCATGATGTTTGCCTGTCCCTGGCAGGCTGACATGGAAGAGCTCCTGGGTGGCCTGCTTCACCCAACCCAGAACAAGTTTTGCATGCTTTAATGCTGTCTGCTGAGTCACCAGACTCCTCATGTGGAAGCTTTGGTCTTACATGCTGTTACTTGGCCACCAAACAGTTGCAGAGCATTTTTATATGGAAAATGTACTGTAACAATATGCACTGTTTAAGGTGAACTTTGACAGTGATGCATCATCTTGCTGCAAGCATTAAAAATTAAAGCTAACATCTAGAAAAACAAAGCATTTAAAGTCATCACTTGTCAAATTTGGTTACATGTACTTAACTGAGTTGAGATTTAGCAGAAGCTGACAATAATTCACTATTATTATCTTAACGTGTAACTTGAATTATTGTAAAAGCTTTGAAAGATAATTGTAGATTAAAATGGTACAAATTCTGTCCCTAAGATACAGGTTGATACCTAGTGGGTGAAGAGGAAACTCTTTGAAGTCAGTTATTTACTTTCTTGTTTTGAATCTTTCTGTAGCCACAGAAGGGCCCCAGTCACCTTTTCATCACATCCTACCCAAGTGCAAGCTGGCCAGAGATCTCAAGGAGACATATGACAGGTAAGTTGGATTTTAATCCTAGCTCACAGAATGCTGTGAGAATTTCTCACTGAAACCCCTTAGCTTTGTTCCTAAGGATATTACCCACTTCTTCATGCTGTTAATCATTGGAATTTGGGTTTTAAACCAGGTAGAGCAATGTGGAGCCTGGCAGTCAGGTGAAATGTTTGCAGAACTGCTACCCTAATCATTACCTTGGTCTGTCTTTGGCATCTTGTGATTAAAAGCTGATGATGTCTGTCACAGCTTTAAGTATTATTTTTTCCTTCCTTAGCTCAGGGGCATTAATAACAAGTGAACTGTAGAACTGACAAGTGTCATAACAGGAATATCACAGCACTGGAGAAGTGCTCTTAACCTGCAGTTAAGGGGAAAGTGCTGCAGGAGCACTGATCACAAGTCAGCTACTGCCCTGGCCCCATTTGTGCATGTCTGGACTGCAAATTTGGATGAGATGCTGAGACTTCCAGCAGAATGGAAAATGTAACATGCTGTTTCTTGACTGGATTAGAAGTTCTGGCAAAGATTTCAAAGCAGTGTGGGGCTGGAGTTGAACTTGAGCAGGGGCCTGTGCCTGTCAGTGCTGCCTGCTCAGGCCCAGGGTACCCTGCAGCCAGGAAATGTGCTTGGGGAAGGGTCTGGACAGAGGGACACAGAACCTCTGTGTGAGAGGGAAGATGCTGTGTCCCTTGCTTGGGGTGTTTGTCAGGGATTCAGGGAATCAGGCTGGAGTTCTTCAGGGAACCCTTTACCCTCCCTGGGTTGTGGCTTCTCGTGTACAAAGAGGATCAGAGCCCTGTGAGGTAAGGCACTGGGAGCCTAAATAATACTATGGTTGCAAAGAGCATCAGAAAACTGCTAAGGTGCTCTTTGTGTTCAAGAGCTGTGAATTTCATCTCGTTTGAAGGAGTGTGATATACGGCTCCACACACCTTGCACAAAACCTGTACTAAACTTCTAAGTAAGGCAGTATTTATGCAGCGTGTAATTCTAATATTGCAATTATATTTTTCTGTTCCTCCAGGGCTATGTATTTATGACTGGGCAAACCCTGATCGTGTTTCCAAATATTCTAGGGACACAGTGACATCTTGTGGCATTTAGCTGTGACTGTAGCAACACGGAGCTCGTGGACTCTGCTGACATGAGCCTTCCCAGAGATAAGGAGGAATAGACAGACCATGGAGAAATACACTTTGGTGCTGCTCCCAGCTGTAAAACAAGGCAGTTTCTTCCTCATTTAGGCATTGTAAGTGGGGAAGAACTGGTGCAAGTTGGATTTTGACACTTTTGTATGACACTGTCAAAAGCAAATGTAAGAAATAAGGTATTGGTAAAAATCTGAAGTGCCTGTGTGCTTGGTTGGAAAGTGGTACTTGAAAAGGAGCTGACAGTGTTGTTGGGTGATAAGATGTTCTGCAGGGTTTTTCTATTAATACTTCATATGGAGCACAGGAAATATGCTTGTTGTACTGGCAGTCAGATCAACTGAGAGGAGCTGCAGCACTTTGCCACGCAGGCATAGATTTGAAATTATTTTTTAGTAAGGTAGAAAAAGGGTTCTAGAAATACAATTTTTTTCTGCAAGTCCAGGATGAATTAATCATTCATGTGTGGTAGCAGCTCTGGGTGAAGTCTGTGTGGCCTTCTGTGAAGTGAGGGTTAGTCATAAGTGACATGGGGTTACAAAAAAGAGGAGATAGACAGGAATGCATAAAATAAGTCTTGTCTGTAAGATAGGCACCAGTCCTGCTCACAGTTGTAAAACTTCTGCTGCAAGGAATATTTTATCCAGTTTGGACACCATATTTCAAGAGGGATTTAGGCCACCTAGAGAGTGTGGAGGAGTGTGAATGACCTCAGAGGGAAGATGGAAAGATTTGCTCTGTTGTTTTAAAGGATAAAGGACTGCTGGGAAGGGTAAACCTTCGGATGCAGGCGGTGACAACGTGCTGCTCTAAATTTACAGAGACTTTGGATGTAGGGGAACAGCCATTGGAGTGGAGAGAGCACTTTGAATTGCAGATGGAGCCCAGCTCTCTGTTTGAGGTTTGCTCCAACCAGCATTTCCAAGTGCCTGCTGATTTCTGCAATTCCAGCCCAATTTCCAGGGTTGCTCCAGAGGTGCTGTTGAGCCCTTGGCTTCCTGTAGATGGTGCTGAGGTATTTCAGGCAAGAACCTACACATCCCTGAGCAGGTTGGTTTGTGCAAAACCACAAGTAGAGGAATATTTTTGTCATTCAAAGTGTTCCTTGGTTTTGAATGATATGCCTGTGTTCCATAAGGCAGGATCAGTACCAAGGACATCTTGACTAGAAATGGAGTGATACTGCACTCAGACAGCTCAGAGGCTTTCAGCATCTAAGTCCTGGGACATTTTGTCTCTAATGAAGAGAACTAGAATGTTTCCTTTGGATTAATTCAGAAAGTTGAGAGTCTTCATTCATCTTGTCCTGAAGCTGAAGCATTGGTGTGGAACAGAAAGCGATGAGTTTTAGGCCCAAGAAAGTTTTCAGGACTTCTAGTGCTGAAAAACTTACAGCTGTTACAATATGTGTCTCTTTTAAGAAGCTTTCACATAGTTTTATCTGCAGCTGCAGATAATATGTGAGCTTGATACTTACTAACTGCCTGTCTGGTTCTAGCAAACCTCTCTTAGCTTTGCACTGGAATAAAAGTGAAAGTATGGAGAGGTTTTGGGGGAGGTTTGGATTGTTTGTTTCTTCTTTTTAATACAGAAGAGCCTAATTATCTTTTAGCCTAGTGGGACTTGAACTTAGTGGTAGATTTAGCCCATCTCAGCAGCTCAGGGAATAATTCTGTGAGACTTAATGAATTATTAGATGTGACTTCTGTGGCTGTGCTATAAAATACAATCCAACTACAGTTATTTATCAAAGGATAGCCCTTTGTCCTTTATAAGGAAATGTGAAATCATTTCAAAACTCTGAGTAGTCACAACCTGTAGGAAAAACAAACTGCAAAGCTACAAGCCCACCTCCACCACACTGGAAAACATGGGGTTAATTTCTGATACAAACAGGACAGACGTGATATGAAGCGTGTATATGTAAAAGTTCATAACTCTTTTATAAATGTGAAGTGGGATTTCTTTGTTTTGCCAATAATTATGGAAAAGGCTGCAGTTCTGGGAGATACTGCCAAATTTTCAGGCTCTCATTTTGGGGCAGTAGCTCACAGTTGAGGACACAGCAGAACAGAGCAAAAGAGCAGTGATAGTCCCTAAAATATTCCCCAGCTTCCTGCAGCTCTGGAGGGGTTTCTGTACATTCAGCAGCTTTCAGCTGATCTCACTTCCCGGAATTAGCCCACAGTCCTGTGAGCCAGAGTAAATATTTAACAACCACAGCATCCTCTGATAAAGAGGTCCATGGCTTAACTACTTTCTGTGTTTCTTTCTATTTCTTCTGAACTTTGCTCCTTTTTGTATCATGAGATGTCTCATGGGCCTTATGATGGAGAGACATTAAACAGCTTTTTCCTGCTTGCCTCTCCCTGTCTCAGTTTTAAACTTTGTTATCTGATCATCCTGATCCTTGCCCATGTATCCCTCAGATCACTCACCAGGTGTTATCAAACCAGAGAGTAAAAAAAAAAAAAGAATATTGAAACTTAAGTTTTTATGGAATAAAATGTCTTGGAGGCTTTAATATCCTATTGCCTGAATCTTTGTGTCTGTATTGGGGACATTATTTAACCCTGCTGTCTGGCTAAGGGCAGTTGCAGGTGTTGCTGCTGGAGGGTGTAGCTTGTTCCTTGTCAAATTACAAGCACTTAAATTATTTTCCTTCCAAGGAGGGGCAGGTGAAAGAGGAATTGTGTGCATAACGCTGTAATGAAGGCTGGAAATTGTACAGCTGAATGTAAATGCAGAAGAATGAAATTAAGATCCAGATCAGAACTGAAAATCTGGTTTTCTTGTTGTCTTTAATTCTAGGCTCTTGTTGTATAGTGCACTGTAGACAAAATTATGCTGTGGAGAGCGTAATTATGTAATTAAAGCTTTTGCTTTAGTGCACTTAGACCAAAGAATGAAAGGAGCCAACTGGATCTTTTTCTGAATGTTAAACTCCGCAGGAAAATGTCTCTGCAAGTATTTCATGCTTTCATGTATCTCTGCTGGTCTTGGGTAACCTGTTTCTACAACCCCACCAGCTTTCAGGTGGTCTCTGAATTTTCTTGTCTCATTTCTTTATTGCCATGTTTCTTCTTGGGGGGATTTGGCCTGGGAGATGATGTGGATAGCCACAGCTTCAGCCCTTTTCCCTGATGTATTTTGAGGGAATCCAGCTTTATCTGTCAGTTGTTCTGTGGTGGGATAAGCAGTGTTACTGGAGCTGCAGCATTTAGTGAACTAAACCAGAGGTGTTTGTGCTTTGCATGTTCCTTCAGGGCTGGGAGCCTCTGGGCAGATGAGAGCTGGGGGGACCAGAGAGACACTGGATTCACCCTCTCAGTTCCTTTTAAAAAGAGGAAAACACACAGTATCTGCTCCATTTGCAGCTTGAAAAATCAGCATTTTCCAGAGTTCAATGCAAGATTTGAGAACAGAATCTTTTGAAAAGTGTTGTCTGCAGTGAGATGTTCCCCAATGAGTCTGATCATGTACGAGGCAGGAGGGGATGGAGTTTGCTCCCTCACCACTCTGTTGTGGTTTGGTGAGTAGTTGCACCAGCAGCCAAAGCTACCCAATGTTTTTGTTTAAAACTGGAATTTCAGCTCTCTCCAAACCTCTACACAAGCCAGATGAGCTTGAAAAAGAGCATGTTAGTTTGTGACCTGCAGTTGGATGCTGGTTATAAATGGTTAAATCACTGCATAAAGACTTTTTCCAAGACTTTTATTTGGTCCCAGCCTGTTTCTGGCATGTTTTTAAATCTGTTTTGTGTAGAGGGGGAAATTCATGGCAGTTATTGACACAAAAGTCAAATTGTGAGTCTCAAAACACTTTGAATTTAAAATTCAGGCTGGAATTTTTCAGAGTGCATACTTTGAAATTTGATTTTAAGCCAAAAAGCATTGTCTGGTAAAAAAGTTTAAATCAAAGGGCATTGAGAAATACAGTTTTCCAGTGTGTACAAGATTAGCTGTTGCTTGAGATTGATCAGCAAGGTTATGTGTTCCTAACTCAAGAAGAGGTGTGGTGAGCCTTGCTGCTTCCTCCCAGCACAGCTGTTCCAGGCCAGCATTCCCTGCCCGTGGAATGGGAATATTGTGAGGGTTTGCAGGGTGGTGCTGGCTTAGCTCCTTATGGTACATTACCCATTTCAAGTAAATATAGTTCCCTCCTGAGGTGTATTCCACCTCTTGTCTAGATTTGCAGACTTCTGTAAAAGCACCTGAATGATGTTCCTGGCTCTAATCTCCAGCTTTTCTGGTTTTTTTTCAGTAAAAGAGGCTTATTGTTGCTTTCAGGCTGAGCACCAGGGTCAGACTTTATTGTCTTCATTATTCCTGAGACATCCATCACTTCCACTCTGGTCCTGTTGTCTGGAGTCAGCTTAAGGGCTTAGCTCAGTCCCTGTGGTTTCCTAGAATGAAGAAACCATGTAAGAAGCACGTTTGTGATTTCATGTGACAAGCAGGAACAGGTTTGTAAGGAAACAAACAACCTAAGCAGAGCCCAAGGAGGCTGTTACTGTGGAAATGTGCTGCCTGGAACAGCCCTTGCCCAGTACAGGCATCCTCCTCTCCCTTGGAGGGGAAGATGGAAATTGGAGGTGAAAACAGTGTGCCCAGTTCATCTTTGCCCTTTGCAGCTTTGGCCTAGGGAATTTTCCTTTGCCTTGCAGTAGATCTTGAATAAACTTCTTTGACTTGAGACACTGCTGCAATGTTAAGAGCAGAGGGAATAGAAGGTCAGTGGTGAAGTGTTTCAAATCTCCCTCAAAATGCTACAGGGGATGGTGCTCTGTAAGTCCAAGTGTAGGAGGCCCTTGCAGGTAGGAGTCAGCTGGTCCTCAGCCAGCCTGGGGACAGACAGGTGTATTCAGTCTTTTCCTGTCCTGATCTGGTTTCTCTGCAGGAGTGACCTGGACCACTGTTTTAATTTGTAATAGAGGGTAAATGCTGTATGCATTTATTGCCTTCCTGTTTTAGTCTCTGCACGACAGGGGTGGTTCGTTTACACATCAACAACTGGCTGGAAGTGAGTTTCTGCCTTCCTCACAAAATCCACTATGTCGCCACCAACTTCATCCCCCCAGAGGCAATCGAGAGAAGTCTGAAATCTATCAGGTAAGAGCAAGCTCTGCCCCTCAGAGTGTGGCTCGTCCGTGCTCCTGTTCCCAGGGTGATGGTGGAGATGTGTGAGGTGGCACAGGCAGGGGGATGGTGTGGCTGGGCTGGGCAGGAGGGGGCCCTGGGCTCAGGCAGGAGCTTCTGCTGTGGCTCTGGGCTGTGCTGGATTCATGGTGGTGGGAAGCCACAGCCTTGGTGTTCACTTTAGATGGTTGTACTGAGGGGATGCTGCAGGAGTGGCTTGCACTGTTTGCAGCCAGGAATTGTGTGTTCATTTTAATCTGTTGACCCAGAAGTAATTCTGCTTTTGGAAGAAAGAGAGCCCAAGTCCTTATTTCCTGTGTTTGTTTACCTGCAAAATTAACTGACTTCTGCTTTCTTCCTTTCTTCTGTTCCATCTTGTATTTCAGTAATGCAGATGAGCAGTTTTCAGACTTGCTCTCAATTGTGTGCCAATACAGTGCAGCCTTTTTTCCTTGTCACTGGGGTATCCAGTTACCATATAACCCTCTGTCTTCTTTTTACAGGAAGCGTCTTATGCTGTGACATAAAAATAAGCTAATTTTGAACCCAATTAGAGCAAAAGGATTATATTAGAAATTCTTTTTTTACCATTACGATGACCCCAGGTATCGTGGTGTGGGAATAACAAAGCCTTCAGGAGAAGCTGCAGTTTACTGTGCAAATGTATTCTATTTTTCTGCAGGCCTTACCATGCCTTATTACTTTTAAATGATGAGAAGTCATTGCTTAATGAGCTCCCGTTGGACTGCTCTCCTGCCCTGGTGAGAGTAATTAAAACTACCTCTGCTGTGAAGAATTTGCAGCAACTGGCTCAGGATGCTGACTTGGCATTGCTGCAGGTATGGGGAGCTGTCAGCAGCTGCTGAGAGCCTTTTCAACCACGAGGTGTTTTCTCCTGTGGGTTCTGTGGGGCAGGAGCACTGCAGCTCCCTCACTGTGAGCAGAGAGAAGGGACAAAGTACCAGCCCTGGAGCCTGGGGAAAGGCTGGGGAAACAAAGGGCAGGCCTCCCACAGCTTCTGTGGTCCAGCACCTGACCAGCATCAGAGTGAAACCTTTCCTCATTTCTAACGGGAATTTCCCATTGTTCTCCTTGTGTATGTTGCCTCAGGACCTGTCCCTGTGTCCCTCTGAGAACGGTGGCTCTGTCTTCTCTGTGCCTCCTGTTTGGTAGCTGAAACCAGAGCAAATTGTACTCCTGACTGGTACCACAGTGGCCTGTCTTGGTCCTGCCATGTTGATGTCTACATGCAAATGAAGCACCCAAAATGCAAGTGAAGGTTTACAGCTGCCATGGCCAAATACACTGCCCCTCCTGGAGCTGCCAAGATCTTTTCTACCAAAGACTTGTGGATGCCTGTAGAACCTTCCCATCCATTTCCCTCAGTCCATCAGTGCTCAGACTTGGCAGTCATGGGAAGAAGATTTAGTTTAGGCTTGGGCAAAGATTTTGAGCCAGTGTCCCCAAGCCAGCAGCTCTTTCCAAATGCCTTTCCAGTAGTGACAACCAGCTCTCAAATCTGAATTGCTGGAGGTGATGAGATGAGCCCTTGGAAAGAGAAGTTTGTGTCAGTGAAAGGACAAGACTCTGGCACTCATGTGAGTTGTGAGGCCACTGAGAGACCCCTGTGGATGACTGATGATTTGGGATGATTTTATGAGATGATCCCAGAGAAGGAAGAGCCACTCCATGCTCCTAAGGGTAGATGCAGACCCAGGAACACAACCTGTGCTCTGTGTGACAGGGGAAACACAGCTCATCATCACATGTTCATAGGTCAGAGCCTTCTCTTGTTCCAAGGGAAAGGTCCTGCTTTGTAATAAAACTCCAGGTCTGCCTGCAGTGCTCTGTGGTGTTACTTGGCTATGGGATGAACTCTGGAAATTCCCTACTGCTTCTGTAGTTTTGCTCTCCACAAAAAAGCACAGTTAAATGCATCTAATGATACAGGCTGGATTTTATGTCTTGTAGACACTATTTATGTGGCTTTTGCAGAGCCATTAGCAACCACTGACTTGTTTAACATATTAAAATACTTTGTGTAGCTCATTACTGAAATGCCTCTATGCAGTAAAAAGGCAGTGTTGGTTTCCTTTATGTTTCTGTCATGATTCTTTTGTTTTATTTCTCACACATTTTATTTTTCATGTATAACACAATGCATTTTGTGCATAAGAAAAAAAAGTTTGGGGGGCATGAAAAGAAGCGAAACTTTTATTGATAGAGTTTGAAGGAATTCCTTTGAGGCAGGAAATACTAAGTTGCTTAGAAATGTGAAGCGAATCTCTGGAAATTCATAACCTTGTCAAATGCTTTTTGATCTGCCACATGTTATATTAAACCATGAATTTATTCTGAAGGCAGGGTGAAAGGATGGAACATTTTTCTTTCATTTCAGCTCAAACAAGACTCTTTTTGTTGTTGTATGGAACACTTGCTGAGCGTTTGTATATTGATTTTGCTCCCCTAATTTTCCCCTGTTTTCTTAATACAGGTTTTCCAGCTTGCAGCACATCTTGTTTACTGGGGCAAAGCAATTATTATTTATCCTCTTTGTGAAAACAACGTCTACATGCTTTCTCCAAATGCCAGTGTCTGCCTGTAAGTAGAAGGAAAAGGTGTTGATGGCAGCACAGTGCTGAGGAGTGCAGATGCACTTTCCTTCCCTGACTGGATACAGAGTGGGATCTTTCTTCATGAATTTGTTGAGACTGTGCAAAACACAAACCATTACATGAGCCTGAACTTGCACAGCCAGTGTGGGCAGGGAGGAGCAGCAGGGCAGATCAATATTCCTCTGTGGTGGTGAGGGCCCTGGAAGCAATATTTACCCTGTGGAGCTGCTGTCAGTATTTTTAATACTCCTGCTCACTGAATGTCCAATATGGGAACATTTACAAACCAAAATACTTTATGATTAAGTTAAATGAATGGTTTGTAGGGCTCTCTGTGTAGCTGGCACACCTGAAATGAATCAAAAGTAGCAAAAGTTGCCATTATGTTGTTTCATGTGCTGGCATTCCATACTGTGTGCCCTGTCACAGACAAGAGGGCAGCATGGCCATTTGGAGAGCAGGCAGAACCACTGCAAGGAAGATGTGGAGGCAGGGTGGGTATTTTTGCTCTGCTGAAGATTGGCAACCCTTCCTCTGTTGGATTTTGAGATGCTTTTAGACTCTGTGTTGGAACTCAGTTATAGGAAAATAGTTTTAAATCAAAACTTTGGTGATGGAAATATAAAAATAGGGCTGGAAGGGACCTTGAGGTCATTCAGCAACAACTGTGCCTGTGTCAAATATGGCAGTGCTGGTCTTGAAGACCTTTGGAGATGGAAATGCTAAGGCACTTTTCCTGATATTTACTTTACTTCTGCTCAGTCCTGTTTCTTGTCCTGTCAGCACGGGGAGGGGGCACAACCACATCTGCGGCTGCAGTTGGCACATTCAGAGCTGGTGTGTGCATCCTGCCCAGCCCTGCCCAGGCTCTGTCCCTTTGATCAGAGCCTGCACAGGTCTGGACTTTTTATCACCTTCATTTTTCTCCTCTGGATTCCCTCCATGCCTTGAACAAAATGCTGGAGCTGAATGTAAGGCTGAGGTGAAAGTGGATGAGCTGCTGGCTGCCTTCTGCAGGACACAACATGCCATCAACTATGCTCAGGGGTTTTCTAGATCACAGGGAATATTACATTTGGGAATTGGATCAGAGTTACCCTGAGCAGCACTAGAGAGCTGATCTGTGCCTTTTTCTCTCTCCTGCAGTTACTCTCCCCTGGCAGATGCCTTCTCCTGTCAGTTCCGGGGTCACAACCTGCCCTCCATGCTGGCCAAGTTCTCCCTCCCCGTGTCCCTGTCAGAGTTCAAGAACCCTCTGGCGCCGCCTGTGCAGGAGGTGAGCTGGGCACTGCTCCTTGTTCTGCTGCTCCTGGAGCACTCAGCCAGGAACCTGCTCTTGCACATTTATGAGTTCCCAATTACTGTGTTTCCAGCCTTATGATTTATTGTTTCATGTCCTTATGCCAAAAAGCTGTGGGGATGTTCAAGGTGAGAGGATGCTCTGTGCTGGCAAAGCACAGTCCTAAAATAAGTGTTAGAATGTTTCTTTTCATGGAGTGATGTAGTAGGGAAACTGAAACTCCATTTGGTCTGTTCCAAATTGTCATTAGTTGGTAGGGCTGAATCAAGTTTGTGGATTCCTCACAATCACATTTGATTTTATTCTATTCCATCTGCTCCAAGTTCACAATCTATTTTTAAAAGCAATCTGTCTGTTCACTTGGTTTTGCTGTAAAACTGGAATTGTTTAAAGGCTTGTGGAGGAAGTAGGCTCAGCATGGGGTCAGCAGAAGTCCATGTGTCACTGCATTAGCTTCTTAGTGCTCAGATCTGTGTTAATAAAATATGGATTTGGGATTTGTGAGCTGTTCTGCTTGTGCATCGATCATGGCTTGTGGCATTTCTGGGAACTGGTGGAACACAGGAAGGAGCTCAGTAACCTGAGGTCTCCTGGCTGATACTGTTCTGTTCCCAGATGGAACAGCCTGGACCTCTGACTGTGGCTCAGGGTGGCAAAGGAAGCATAGGCAGAGTTCTTTGCCTGGTTTCTTGTGTTTGCTTCTGGCCTTCAGACTTGGGTGCCTTGGAGGCTCCATGGGTTTAGCCCCTGCTCAGATACAGAGATTACCATCCCCTTGCACTCCAGCACAGCTGTAATTACAGGCTGGCAGAGATAATGGTCAGATATAAAGATAATTAATGATGTAGGTCTAATCCCAGTAGCATGTACTGGTCAGCTGCCACCTTGGGAGGCAGGGGAAGAGCAGGACCCCACTGTAGTTACAGATAAATAAGTGTCCTGAAAATTGAAGCTGAAGTCATAGCATTAATTTTATTCTAGCTGCAGTAGCTTCAGGAGACATTCTCAGTAATCCTTTTAAAATTAATTACTTGCCTTAATACTTCTCCTTTAATAGTTCTGGTTGTTCTCAGATGTCCTACTTTTGTTAAAAATACATAAATAAAAGTCTGCCACTTACTGCTGCAGTTATGCCTTGAAACAAGGGTGCAATAAATGCTTTCCAGAGCTGATGGAGTGCTAAAGTGTGTTTTTAGTGTGAACCTTCCCCTGCTGTTCACCTGTCTGTGGTGGGGTCCTAAGGGTCAGCAGCACAGCTTGCTTTCATCATCCTTTCAGCTTTATTGGAAGGATGAAGGGTGATACTGTGAAAAGCTGTGTTTTTTTTGATAAAGCAAAGTGTGACAGTTCTTAGGGGAGTTTAGAGCGAATTTTTATGTATTTTTGTATCAGTACATTTTCTTCCACTTTGATTTACCTATGTAGCACTTCCTGTATTATTTTTTGGTTTTTTAGTCTTTTAAGAGAAGTGACTCCAATCCTTGCCCTGAAGTGGTCAGGCTCCAGTTGTAGTTCACAGAGATCTAATCAATACAACAATTAATCTAATGAAATGTGGGTGGGTTTTTGTTAAGCTTTTCTGTGATAAAAGATGTTGTACTCTGAACTGTAAATATTGTCAAAATGTATTCGCTTTGCCTTTGAAAAAAATTAGCAAAGGTGGGACTTCCCTCTGTAGTTTTGTTCTTTGTGTGCACAGGAGGGGATGTGAGGTTTTTTAGCTTTAAAGATTGCCAGTTATCTTGTGCTTTTCATCGGGCTGAGGGCACTGTCTGTGCTCCTGAAGGTCACTGTGCTGAGGGTCAGTACTGTGGGAGGAGGTGTACCTTCTACAGAAACTGCTGTGGCCTCATGGCATCCAGGGCATCCATCCCATTTCATTCTTCTCTCGAGCATGGGACTGGCTCCCTGCTTTTGGCATGTGATTCTGGATGGGTAAAAAATACAGAAGGCATTAATAAAGCCCACCATAGGAAACAGGAGAGCTCTCAGAGCCCTTCCTGTTTTTTTGTATAAAAATATTGCTTGATTTGAAAGCAGACCAAGTTATTTTTGTTCAATTACCATTACATAAGTGGAATTCCTGTATTCCTTTGGGTAGATGAGAAAACAAAGTGACACTCATCTTTCTGCTTGGTGTGCTGTGGTATTTTTTGGCTGGTACAAGACATGAACAATGTGAGCAAGGACAGGACTGCCTTGGGAGTGCAAGGCTGTGTTCTGCTTTTGGTGTCTGCCTGTAGGTAGGAGGTGTCAGATGAGTGGTGTGTGCCAGGCCTGCCAGGGCTCTCAGCTGTGCCCTGTGCCAGGGACTGAAACTCTTGATTTTGTCATCTTGATCTCTTTTCTTGCCTGAGATGAGGAGCAGTGTATTGCAGTGGAACCCTGGCCAGTGTGTATCTGTCAGTTGAGAAGATTTTGGTATCCCTGCAGTGCTCCCTGCTGCTTCCCTTTCTCTGTGTTTCCCTTGGATTCCCTGGGACAGCAGCAGGGTGAGGATGAGCCCATGCCCTCAGCTCTGCTGACCTCAAGAAATTTTGGTGCTGTTGAGCCAAGGCTCTGCTTTTCCTTCCCCCTCCCAGGTGTGTGCACACAGGAGCCTTCCTCCCTTCCCTCTTCCCTTTCCTAGGGCTCTGGCTCCTGTCCAGCCTGACTCTGTTCATTTAACTTGTTTCAGCTGCACAAGTTTTCTGCCAGGTTAGCAGGTGGAATTCACTCAGGGAGATGCAGTGAGCTCCAGGGCTGGCACAGAGTGAGGAAGGTGATGTCTGCAGAGCTTGTGCACCTGGGGGGTGAGGGAAGCAGAAGCTGTTCTCCCCATTTCCCAGTGAGTTGTCCCTTAGCTCCACAGTGACTTGTAATGTCACCAGGACTTGCTGCAGTGCCTGGGTTTGTCCTGGATCTCACCAGGGTGCAGCCACGGGGTGGGGACATCCTGTGGGTTCACACCAAAGGGAACTCATCTTGCCTTTTGGTGTTTTTGCTGGAAAAGAAGCAGTTTGCATCTCCTCTCTCCCAGCCCCAAAGAAGCTGTCCTTGTTCTGCTGCCTGTGGCTGTTGGCTCGTGTCCCTGTGCTCTCCTCTCGAGTGGCACAGCCTTGCTGTGAGTGCAGGGCACGCTGGGGTGGAGCTCTGGGGTTGCTCAGTGGGTTGCACACCCCTTCCAGACTTCCTGGGAAAGCACAGGAGCACCTGGTGACCCAAAGCCTTCAGGACATGCTGACTGGCAGGATCTGTACCAGGCACTGCTGCTGGTGCAGGAGAAGGCTTTGATCTGCTGTTCAGGATAAGGATTTCCTTGTCCAGCATCACATTTCTTTACCCAGCTATTCTGCACAAAGTTGCTTTGCAAACCAAGAGTTAGGGATGATGTTTGTGGCTTCCCCTCCTCTGCACTGTAACCTCAGCCAATTTATCTGCTTCAGAAGCTGTAACACCTCTCTGCCCTGGCTTGAACAGACATGGACTAGCAGGAGGGATCTTCTCACCTGTAAGGAGTGTTCCTAGGTGAATTAGACATCTCATTTCCTTCCTGCACCCCTTTATCATAATGCACATTGTCATTATTATTGTGGTTCTTTAATTCTCCCTTGATGGGATGTGGATAACTGCAGGAAAAAACCCCAAAACCATATGGGAAAGCAGGACAGCTGCTCCTTCTGAGCAAAATCTGTTTAACTTTTCACATTTGTTTTAGTCAGTCTGGGCCATCCTGCTGGGAGTCAGGCACAGGGAGATGAAGCCCCTGCCTTTGCCTGCAGAAAACATGCTGAGCTTTGTGCAGGGCTCATGGAAAATGAGGCAGGAAAATGTGTCAGGGGATGGAGTGGGAGGGGAGCTGAGCTGCCTGCACACCCTGAATGGGCAGCTGTGTCTTCAGGGAGCCACACTGCACATGGGGCTGCTCTGCTGGAAGGCATTAGGAGCCACAGGAGCTTTTGTTGGCAGAAGTTGGGAAGTGGGATTAAGATGCATTTATATTCAGTTGGACTGGGTATAAAATCAGGGGTTTAGCACAGTAAGTTAAAAGAATATGTCATGCTAGGCCTGAATGGAGGGAATGGTTAAGCTGGGAATTCAGAGCTGTTCCCTAATGATTAAAATGGCAATATTAGACAGTAAATGTTTCATCCTACATCAGTAGGAGTTTTCAGAGTCTGTTTCCTGTAAGATAGGGAGAAGTTTTCATAGCTTATGTGTTTTCCATGCAACACCATGGTTTGAATGCTGAAGGAAGGTAATACATTTCAGCAAACATCCCTGCACCCCAGTGGCTTTGAAGGTGTCATCATCCTGAGCCAAGGCAGCCCTCAGTTCTCCAGTCAGACCTTGAAGAGGATTTATATCAAATAACTGGATAATCCAGGCTGGAGAAAGGGGGCTTGTGTGCTTCAGCAGGCAAAACAAGCTGTGTTTTCACTATCTCCTCACACAGTGAGAACCAAGCTGGGATTCAGTGCTTCTAGGCTGCTGTTTTCCCTTCCCTTTCCTGACCCTGTTGCTGCTCCCAGTTATCCTTAACATTTTAGGCCTGGGAAAGAAAACAGCCTTAAAGAATCCTTGCAGGAAATTTAACACATTTGTTCTCAAGAGTTTTACAAATGGTCCCAGAGAATAAGGAATGTTGGATCTTTTCTCTTCAAGACTTGGGGCTGAGCTTTCCTCTGGCCATCCCAGAGTGCTCAGCTGGGCAGTGCAGTGCTGTGTTTTTGGAAGCCAGTGCAGCATCTTTGCTTGTGCCAGTGAGCACAGAGCAGGGCATTGTACCAGTGCCTTGCATGACAACACCCTGGCACTGCTCTGGGGATGGCCCTGGGCTGCTCTGTGCCAGCAGGAGCAAGCCAGATGTGGCTGCTGCAGCAGACAGGACCCCCCCAGAGCAGGCTGGAAAGAGGCAGCAGGGGCAGACAGGAAGCATGAAAGGAACATGGATAAAATTTAGATTGAATTGGTAGTTAAATTAAGCAATAGAAAATGTTTCACTTTATGTTTCCATCACAATCCTGGTGTTTCAGCCAAAAAAATCTGGATTCCTGCTGTGCCAGAGCATGACTGAGGCAAGCAGTCCTGGGATGAAGTATATCCCTGCCTGGGAAGCTGCTCCCAGCCTGTTTGGCTTCAGCAAGGAGCTCATCTCTAATGAAATGCCCTGAGAGCAGGCACAGAGAGAACCCTGCACCTCTGGGGAAGGAGCAGCATTTGCAGCCAGCACAGCACAGATGGTGCAGGGAAGCCTCTGCTCCTGCAGCTCTGGGTGAGCTCCGTGGGAGCTTGGGAGGAGCAGATGGAGAATGGATGGAAATGCAGTGCTGGTGTCCAGAAGCACAGGCAGCAGAATGTGTTAGCAAAGCCTTTGCTAGAGCTGATCTGTGAAAACACTTCTGCCTTTGGTAAGAAATGGGTCTAAACCTGGAGGAAGTGGGAATGGTGTGAGGCACTTGCAGTGGTGGCACAAGGCTCATCACATGGGCAGGGGCCAGTGCAGGATGCTGCAGCACTTGGGCTTTTTCTAGGACTGGGTTTTAAGAAGTACCAAATTCCTGCTGAAGTTTGGCTAGTACAGAGAAATGTCAGGGATCATCAGTGTCTGGTCTAGGGATGATTGTTCAGGTCACTTCAGGATGGAAGAGTTTCCTCTGGCTCTCAGATGTCCAGCTCTCCCACCCAGAGGAGGCACAGAGGTGTTTGGCAGGGGCTGTTTGCACAAGGCTGTGGCTGTAAAGCTGTAACCCCACTGCTGCCTGGCTTCTTGTTCCACTGGGCCATGGCTGCTGCCTTGGGGTGGCTTTCTAGGTGTTTCCATGGAGTGTGGAGATGATGGTGCTCATGCAGGATTAGAGAGGGATGGATGAGGCTCTCCATGCACATGGGGCTGCAGCAAAAGAAACTGGCTGTTTTTGTAATTCATGGAACCACCAGAGTGCCCATGGGAGGCTGGTCTGGGTCAGGCCCTACCCACCGCTTCTGTAGGTCTGGCAGAGCCTGTCTTCCCGACTCCTTGGATTTTTCCAGGGTTGTTTTGTGCTCTGAAATGTGCAGACCTCTTTCATTTGCTAATCAGGTGTCACTGTGTGCCAACAGGTTGGAAATTTAAGTAAAATAAATGAGCCATCTTTCCATCCAGGCCTGCAACTGGAAGGAAGGATTTCAGCAACGTAATCGCTGGAGTAAACCTCGCTCTCCCAGGCTGGCTTCAGATGTTAGCAAAGCATTTATGTCTTTGGTGTCTTTTGCCAACCTTCCTCTTCTGTAAATTTTCTGTTAAACATGTGAAATGAATTATGACTTTTCCAAAAAATGCATGTTTGAAGGTGATCCCAGATATGTTTTAAGATTAAAACCCACTGAGCCCCCAGAAGTGGTAATCCCTGAAAAGACAGGGTGTGGGTCTGTCTGCAAACAGAAGAGGTTTCTTCTGTGGTTTGATAGCAGAGGAGGAACTGAGAATTACCAGATTTATGGAAAAAGGAAAATTATGTGGGCTGATGAACTTGGGTTTGGGGCTTTTATTGTGATTTGGCCTGTTACCCTGATGATTAATGCAGCAGAGTGAGCTTCCTTCTGAGCCTGAGCTCATGCTGCATGTGTTTGTCTCACCAAAACAGTGGTGGTTGCTATGAAATCCCCAAACAGCCTTGTCAGTGACTGTGTTCTGAGCCCTTTGCTACAAGAGTTGCCTACAGTGATATGAAAAGGCTTTTTATGCAGAAATCAAGACACAATGATGCATTTTGAAGGCTCCTCCTCCCAGACTTCTGAAAACAAACCCTGCAAACTCTTGTCCCTCGCTCTGCTCGTGGTGTGGGTGTCCAGCAGGTGTTGGGCAATATTTAATGCAGCTCGTTGCTTTTGAATCTGTTGCCTGCCTGAAAAACGCAGGGGTCTTTATTAGCTTGGCCCTGTGTGTAGCAGAGGGAGGTGAAATGATGGTGACTGTGCATTGAGAGGGGACTCCTTGGCAGCTCAGGCTGCTGTCCCCTGCCAGGGCTGGTGCTGCTGGCTCTATATTGCCCAGCCCTGTCAGGCTCCGATCCCCAGAGCCTCTCCCATGGCTGAACAGCAGTTCCCCATCTGACAGCAAAGGGCTCCTATTCCTGGCCACCTCCCAGGTGCTTCAGCTCTGCCCCATGACCCTGCCCTCTCTCTGGCTCTCCAGAGGAGCCTGCACTTCAGTCTGACCAGCTGGGATTAACCCTTCAGTGATTTATTTTAGTGGCCCTTGTGTAGAAACCAGCAAACTGTTCTGGAGCTGAGGCAGGGGCAGGGCAGGTTCCTTGGAGGCTGTGCTGGTCAGTGTTGCATGAAGATGTGGATCATGAAAGGCTCCACTGCAGCCTAAACAGCCACAGAGGCTCTGAGTGTGATGAAGGTTTGTGTCTGGTCACCTTTTTGTGATTGGAAAAGAGATAAACTCTTGTGTGGGGAGAGAAGCATTTCTCCATGTGACTCATTACTCACCAAGCGAGTCCTTTGTGTGCTGTTTTCCTCCTGTATCTCACTTCCCAGATGCTTAACCCCTTGTTTCTCCCCCTGCAGACCCAGCTGATCCAGATGGTGATCTGGATGCTCCAGCACCGGCTCCTGATCCAGCTCCACACCTACGTGTGCCTGATGGTGCCCCCGAACGAGGAGGAGTTCCGAGCCCAGGATGAGGACATGCCCTTCACTGCCAGGGTTGGGGGACGAAGTTTGAGCACCCCCAACGCTCTCAGCTTTGGCTCTCCAAGTATGAACAGACTTTTCTCTGCTGTTCAGACTCCACCTCACTTCTAGAGCTTCCCTTAGTGCTGCCAAGGGCCTTCAGGCCTTGGTAATGACACATCTCCTCTTGCTGCAGTACTTGCTAATTAGGTCCAGCCTTTCCTAAATTTAGAGCTGGGCACTGGTGAAAGTCCTAGAGGCTATTAGACTTCTTTTTAGAAAGAAGTAATGCTTTGCAATTTGCCAAATTCTCATTTGGTCCTGTAAAATATTTTTATGTGAGGTACTTATTTGTTTTTTAAAGTAACTTTGTCCTCCCTTGCTGCACTCAGAAGTATCCCCTGTGCTCCTCTGGCAGATTGTGGTTTTCAGGACAGAAAGAAAATGTGAGAATTTGTTCAAGCAGCATTGGTTTCTGTGGGCTGTAGAGCCATTAGAGCCACCTGAGGAGACACAGAACTGGCTTTGTTGTCACAAATGATTGATTTTTGTTTATATCCCCTGATCTCTTTAATCTCCCCAGTGCCATTCTTCAGGGTGATTCCAGGAAAGCATTCTTTCAAGAGAATGAGTCAGATAGGATGCTGAAATCACCAAACTCTCCTGCCTGTGCTGTTCTGAGCAGCCTTCTCAGAGCACCACTGGGCTTGGATATGGGAAGTGATCCTCTGTATAACTTTGAGCTTTACAGGAGTCATGAATTAGGGCAGAAATCTTGGAACTTGAGTCAGATGAGTCTGTGATCTGCTTTTTCTGGCTCTCTCACAAGAGGATATTGCTTCTTGGCCTCTCTGCCTGCTCCCACCTTCTGTGCTGTTAGGCTTTTCATGTTACCACTTCATGGTATTCCAGCACAGCTGTCTGGGAATTCTCTTTTCAAATGCTTTTTATGGACTGTTTATGGTCTCCAGAAATACAATTTTTGACACAAATTGATGACTCTGTTGAAAAATTTGAATTTCCCGTTGAGAAAATTGCTGTGTTGTCATATGACTAATTGCAGATTCATGGAGTACTTGGAGAACCACTTTCTCTGCTCTCCAGAGAAGAGGGATTAGTTGGAAAGGCTGCACAAAAATAGCCTGAACTGATAAACTTCACATCTTTATGCTGAGGAATATAAAAACTCAGTGTGTATGTGTGTCTCTCTCTTGCCCTGATAGCCAGTAGTGATGACATGACTCTGACAAGCCCTAGCATGGATAATTCCAGTGCTGAGCTGATACCTGGTGGGGACTCACCCCTAAATAAGAGGATGACAGAGAATCTCCTGGCAAGCCTGCTGGAACACGAGCGGGAAGCCATCCTGAATGTCCCAGCTGCCCAGAATCCAGAAGATCTCCGCATGTTTGCAAGGTGAGCAGTGCAGGATGCTCATTGTTTCTTATCCTCCCTGCTTTATGGAAGGATTGGTGTGCAGTCTGAGAAAATCCTGTTAGCCTGGGGATTTGGAGGAGAAATTCTTTTGGCTTTGCTCCTGTATTTCATCTGTAATGCAAACTAATATTTGTGGCACAAGAACACGTGGTAACAAAGAGTCCTGGGCGTGTGAAGGAGTGTCAGGGGGTATGGTTGGACTTCAGTGTTTGTCTGCCAGTTTTCCTTGTCCACACATGGCAGACACAAAACTGCATCAGCCTAAAAAAACACTGTAAGCAGGCAAGGCTGAGACCCAGTGATACTGATGCTTCCATTTTGTGTCCATTGGTATTTCCAAGCCAGCTCTCCTTAATTTTACAGTTTGTAAACTCCATGGAAACATGATACACAGAGCCAGCCTGAATACTTTCACAGTGTCCCAAGGTGTCTTTGGCAGTGATGAGAGCTCACTGCTTAGGTCAGTTAAGCTAAAGGCATTAGGGTGTGTGATCAGTGGCACACGTTTTGTTGTTACAAATTTGCACTCCACAAAACCAGGCACTCTGTGGTTCTACACGTGGTGAAAGCAGAATGACTTCCAGAGCAGCCATCTGGGAAGAAGGAAGGGGAGGAAATACTTTTTCTTCCAAAGGATTTCAAAACTCATTGGAATCACTGGAATGCAACTTTCACTGGTTTTCATACTTGTGGAGAAGAAAACCACCTGAGGCAAGGACTGCAGCTGTTCCATATTCTGGATTCAGTTGGTAATCCCCTGAAAACCTGGTTCTTGCCCTAGGATGGATACAGGCAGGTAGCCCAGGGAAGCTGTAGTAGCAGAAAGATGCTTTCCTTGTCTGTGGCAGAGTACAGCTCAGGGACTTTGACAGAGCTCTCAAAACATGTGGGTAGTTACTGCTCTCTGAATTATTTGTCTTCTTCATCTTCTGCAGCTCTTCAGAGAATATGCTCTGACTGGGAGGCAACATTGGCCACTTGAGAACTCTGAAGTGTTTTTTTCTTTATTACCAGCTAAGTCATTACAAAACCACTGAGAAAGAAAAGTAACAACAAAATCATATTTAATATCTTAAGACAGAATTTGTGGGGGACTCCTTGGACCAGTTCAGTGGTGATGCAGATTCTCAGTTATCCTAGTGAGAGGAAAGGATATTGTGATTGCTCCTCTCTCATACCCTCAGCTGGGTAAAAGATCCATTTGGAAGCTTTGGAATTGCAGATGCAAGAAATGTCTCTGATTTCTTTGTGAAACCAGTTGAGTGATGTTTATTGTGCAGTTTGCTCCTGCCCCAGGTTCTTTTGCAGATCCCCAGGCCTTACCAGGTCAGAATTTCCAGTCTACTACAGATTGAATTGGCAAATGCAGCGTGCTCTGAGGCACAAGTGAGGAACAAACAGATTAACAGTAAATAAACAATGAACAGATGGGTCCTGTGGGCAGATGCTGCAGTCTACATGTAGGAATGTTCATGCCAGACCCTCTTGGTTACTGCTGGTTTTATGAGACACCACAACTTGTAGGTTGTAGTGTATTTTCTCTCTTTTTGTGTCATAACCATCAGAGATGAGTGAGTAAATCTCTTGCTCTCAGTGAAAGAGAAAAAGCCATGCTGAAGCTGCCTGAAGGAGCTGATCTCCCTCATTACCCTCATGCAGGTACTGCTCCAGCCCTGCTCTGCTCTCGCAGCTGCCTCCAGAGCAAAGTGCTATAAATGCACAAACGGTGCCCTAAATATCCTGTGGAATTTGTCCTTCCCAGGATGCTGTGTGTGCACTCAGAGGGATGGGCTATTTCCAGCACAGAGTGCTGGTGCCTGTCCAGGGCTCTGCACAGCCTGTGTTTGAAGGCAGAAACCTTAAGGGGAAGTAAGGAATTACTAAATCTTGGCTCCAGCATTGGCTGCATTAACCCTCATAACACTGAATTGGAATTTAAATCCAAGTTCTTTCCTAAGGTGCAGCTAAAAGAAGGTGGGTATGTCCTTCCAGGAGCAAGCTTGAGAAGGAGACAAGTTCTTTTTGAGCTAGGTTCTGAGTAATGTACACCAAGCCTTGCTCACTGCACATTAAGCAGTGCTTTTGAAGCCTGAAGAAGTTGGAGGCTGCACTCATGGCTTCTCTCCCAAGCCATGGGTGTGGAGCTGCTTTCAGGGCTTATTTGGGTGAGAGATTCTGAGATTGGGAGGTGAGATCCTTCCCTCCACTGAGGAATGCTTGTGGACAGTTCTGCTCTGGTTTCAAGCAGTGCTGTGGCAGGGATGTCTCCTTAGCCAGAAATAAGCGAATTCTGTTTCAATTGCTAGTCTGAGAGAATCCTTTTCTTTTTAGTCTGTGGGAACACCCCGGTGCTGTTAGAGGGGCAGCTCTTGCAACCTGAGGAGGGGAAAACAGTGATGAGCAATGGAAAGCAATGATCTTCCATCGCTGCATCTGGATGTGCACATGTCAGCAGACACACCTGTGCAGCTTCAGAGCGACTCAAACACGGTGTCACTGCCCCAGGAAGTGCCATCTCATGCTGATTGTGTCCAGAAATGTTCATTGCCCAAAAAGATGGAGGCAGTGCCCACCTTCTCTGGAGCTGTGAGTCCTGAGGACAGCCTTGTAGATTCTACTTGGACTTTTGGGAAAACCTCCTCCCCGGGAGTGTGGTGCAGCCCAGGACAGAGTGCCCAAGCACGTGGAGGGATCTCCATCTCTGAAGGGCTGGAAAAAGCTCCACAGCATTAGCAATAGTCCTGCTGGAGCAGGATGCTTGGCTACACTTTGGGGGTGTCTTCCAGCTGGCTTTTTTGTGATATTCTTTAATATCCTCTCTAGCTTTTACTGGAGTGGAAAATATGTAGTCTTGACCAGTTACAAATCCAGACTCTTTCTGAATATAAGATGGATTTATTTATTGGCAAACTGCTCAGTCTGTGCTGCTGTGGAAAGCCCAGGCTGTACCATTTGCATGGAAGAGAGCTGAGGCAGGGTATGAGCACATGGGCACAAGAGCCTGGCACAGGGAAGGGAATCCCCAGAATCACTTTGTGAACTGTGAGATGAGTTGTAAGATACAAGTATTTTGTTCATATCTGCAAGAACAGTCTGGCTTTGAGTCTGCCACCCAAGAGCTGGCACTGTCCCTGTGGGCGACCACTTCTCAGTGCTCACAGTTGCCATTGGCCATGGGGAGGTGGCCAAGGAGCCTCAGGCCAATACCCAGTGGGAGACAGTGTAAAAGGCAGATGCACAGCCCAGGTGTGGAAAGACTGGAGCTTGTCTCTGTTGTTTGCTGCAGGTACAGAGGCACAGTTGTGTTCTCCATGCTGGTGCCAGCTCGAGATCTGGCAGGGGAACAGCAGGAGGGAGCTGGCAGCGAGCTGGGGCTGCCCAGCCTGGGGCTGCCAGTGAGGATCCTGCTCGGGGCCCGCAGAGCTCGTGGGGGAGAGGAGGGACATGGCAAGTTGGGAAGCAGAGAAACACCAGTGGCACTGGGCTGCCTCTGTCACAGTGGGGCATGTGATGGGGGGACCCTTGTTACACGGTGACTGCTTTCCTGTGAGGCTGGTGGGTGACAGGAACACCCACCCTGAGCAGCCAGGCAAGTGTTGGTCCTGCAGGGGAAGCAGGAGCCACTCCATCCTCCAAAACAGGCCAGAGTGCCCAAGCGGCTCTTGGGTGTATTTTGAGGGCTGTTCCTGCATGGGGGCTGTGTGAATGGATTGGAAAACAGATCATGTCATCTGCACTCATTTTTATGGTCAGTTGGCACGAAGCTGCAGATGGGTAATGGAACATGAGCAAAGGCTGCTGGAGCACAGAATGTGATGTGGAGGCACAGCTGGCTGTGGAGCTGGGAAGGGACTCTGGCCTTGGGGCCTTCACGGGGTGGGGAGTATTTGAGTCACACGTGGGGCATGGCTGTGACATTTGGGAGGGTGTTGAGACAGACTGAGCAGCGAACTCAGGCTTCATGTGAGGGGCTGGCTCAGAGGGAACTCTGGGGAGGGGCCACTGGGGACTTCTGCTGTTTGTCGTGGGCCCTGCTGTGATTGACTGTGCAGGGCCAAGGTTTTCTGATGGCTGTAGCATGTTGGTGGCCAGCAAAGGGGTATCTGTGCTGTCTTTGTTTAAAGAGAATAGGGAATTTAAGAAGCCAGCATGGTTTGAGCTTGGGCTTCAGGGGATTTTTAACTCCCACAGCTCCTCTCTGGTGCCTACCACCAAAATTTCCATCTCCCTGTTGTGACTGCTCCACCCAACCCAAGCTGGTCAAACCCTGAGTGCAGGACCTGTAGTTACAAAGCCCCTTGGGCTGCTGTGAGGGAAAATTGCTCTTAATTCTAAAAGGCAGTGCAGGTACCCAGGCCCCTGGTGCAGAGCTGTGACAAAGGGCAGTTGTAGGCTTAGCTAAGAGAGCACAGAATAAATCTGCCATGTCCTGACTTTTCAAGGCTTGTTGGCACTTGAGTTTGTTCACATTCTGAAATTAACTAAGTTGAAAATTGACAGTCTTGGGAAATGCCCCAGACTGAGAAATCTCTTGATCCAAGGAAGACCTTGGCAAAGTGCCACAGTGGATGAGTCCCATCCTTTTCCAGGGGATTTCTGTGCTAGGCATGATATAATTCCTTTTTCATGCAAATGAGGGACAAAACCCAAACAACCTTCTGCTTTGCATCCCATGGGAGAGGAGACCTTGGGGGTGGTACTGTGAGTTTGAGCTGCTTTTGGCCCACGTGCTCCCTTGCTCTGCTCCCTGCAGGCTGCTGCACTACTTCCGAGGCCGGCACCACCTGGAGGAGATCATGTACAACGAGAACATGCGGCGCTCCCAGCTGCTGATGCTGTTTGACAAGTTCCGCAGCGTGCTGGTGGTCACCAGCCACGAGGACCCCGTCATCTCAGTGTTCCAGTCCCTGCTGAAGTGACTCTGCTGCCACAGGAGGGAGGAGCCTGCTGAGAGTCTAAAGGATGACTTAAAACTGCAGGAGGTGGTTTCAGTTCCTTCTTGCTGTGTGACACGCAGCAGTGGTTGTGCCCCTCGGTGCCTCGATGTCCCAGCTGCTCCCCGAGGCTCCGGGGCCTGCTGCAGGACAGCACGTGCTTGCTCAGCCTGGATTCCTGCCCTGCCACCTTCACAGCCCTTCCCTGGCCCTGCTGCTCCCCAGGGATCATCAGAGTGGGACAAGAGGGTTCTGCTGTGGCGCTGCTGGCAGAACGTCACCTTTGAGGGGACACTGGTGCCCTGGGAGTGCTTCCTCTGCTCTCCAGCGTGACTGCTGGGACACTCAGCCAGGAGAGGCTGGCCCCAGGGCACAGCATGCATGGCCCTGCTCCAGGGCTCAGGGGAGCTGGCCTGGCTCTGAGGGAAATGACCCTGGGCACCCAGGAATTCTGTTTGATCTCGCAGCAGCGAGGACAGGGGTGGGAAGGCAAAGTATCACAAGTAAATGAAATTGTGAATGAATGACTCAGTGTGTCACAGCTCATTATTTCCTCACCCCAATTCCCTTATTCCCAAGTGTCTGTTGGAGCAGGGCTGTCACCAAGCAGCCTCTGTGCTCCTGGGTTTCCATGTTTCCCAGTTTGTGCCTGGGGGTGGGAGCTTGGTGAGCAGGACTGAAAGGTGCTGGCCAAGCTGCAAGTTCAGGGACGTGTTCCATCCAGAGGCTGCTGCTGAGGGCACTCAGGCTTGTCCCCCAGGGCTGGTTTTGTCCCTCCAGTTCCCCTCCCACAAGCATGGCTGTGGCTGCAGAGAACCAGACAGGGATCCTGGCCTGGGTTAAAGCTATCCAGCAGGAAAATGAGATACAGGGCTGTGTTTCCTGCTCTGGTTTGGACTGCTCCTCCAGCCATGCCAGGGCCAGAGGAGGTGACAGCCCTGGGACATGCCAGGGCCTGGGGACAGCAGGAGCTTGTGCCAGCTCACCCCTGCCTGTGTGTGTCACTGTCCCCCAGAGCTGCTCATGCTCTGTGCTGCACACCCAGGGGAAGAGAGGGGGAACTTTACCTCCATGGTGGTGTGGCTCCTCGGGGTTTGTTGTTAAAGATTGTCAGGTGCCCTCTGACGACCTTCCCTTACACCACACACAGCAGCTGGAGCTTTCCCAGAGCTGCAGGCTCTCAGCAGCTTCTGTTGCCCACACAAACTGGGTGAAACTGGGACCTTTAGCTGACTTACCTCCCCCTTCTATGGGGAGCTACTCCATAATAGCTTCTTTGGGGTCCCTTCACTTAGTCTGGCACTGCAGCTACAACATGGATGGTAGAGAAGAGCAAAAAACCACATCTGACCTAAAAATCAGATAAACATCACTGTAGGCCCTATCTCAACCAGCCCCAGCATCTGAGCATCAAGGTGAGCTACTGCAATCAGAAAAAAGGCTGCCCAGAAGGGGCTAAACCAAATTATTTCATGGGATGGGGACAAGAATATTTAAAAACTTGTGCTTTTTTATTGTTTGTGAACCTTAAGGTGGGGGTGGAAGTGGGGGGTGTATCCCTGTCACCTACCCAGTGTGGCTGCAGTCCTGCAGGTCCTGCCCCGAATCCTGGAGGTCTTTCCTCTCTGCACCTCAAGTCAGGCTGCTGCACCAGTGCTTCCTCTGTGGGGGGGTTCACACAGTGCCAAGTTCTGAACTGCTTTCAGAAACAGCTGGGAAAGTGAACAAAACCCATTCTTGTTCTGTCTTGTCTTCTGGACATTAGAGAAAAGTAGATGTTGGAAGGGGTCTCTGCTCAAAGGAAAGGTGTTAACTCAGGTCACTCAGGACCTGTCTGTGGAGGTGTGAATGGCCCACAGCTTCTCTGGGGCCCTGTTCCAGTGTTTGACCATTCTGTGGGGAAAATTTTTTCCGTAAGAGCTAATGAAAACTTCCTGTTTTCCAGCTGGGGGCCCATTGCCTCTCATCCTGTCTGACAGCAGCCTGGCTCTGTCTTCTCTACCCCCCCGCCTGACGTAGCTGCAGACAAGATCCTCCCTTTACATCCTTCTTTCCCAGCTCCCATCCTTTCAGTCTGCTCTGCTGCCACCCCATTTTTTGGCTATTTCCCTGTAGCAATCAAGCACTGGCCACTGCTGGGGGCTGAAGCTCTGGGAGCAGCCCAGAGCTGTGATCCTTCTCTCACCCACCCTAATTAAGTCTGGATCTGCTGGCAAGGGAGAAAGTGGCCTTCAGTGTCCAAAGTGTCCAAAACCAGTCTCAGTTCTGGCTGGGAGGCCCAGGCTAGTCTCCTACAAATAAAACTCCACCTTGCCCCATTCATTGTGACAAAGTACATTTATTGTTAAAAACCCCCCAAGCCCCTCTATCTGCCATGATGCAGCCTGAGGCCATTGTACAGAGCATAGCTCAAGTCCTGGTCCCTGGGACACATTCAAGACTAGTCAGCTGCCAGGGGAGTGTCCCCTTGCTGCCATCTCTCTCTCAATTTTCTTGTCTACAACACTCACAAATCTGTTTCCTCGTAAATAAAACCTGAGTGGTTTCTGTGCCCATTCTCCCCTGTTGCCAATGCCAATCCTGGTGGTGGCCACCACGTCCTGCTCCCCCGGTGGGTCCTGTCCAGGCACCATCCAGATGGCAGCATCCTGAGTCAGGTCCCTTTGGTCAAAAGTCTTGTCGATGCCAAAGGCCTGGCAGAGCTTGGAGGGCCCATTGCAGAGCTGCCAGTCCTTGAGCAGCCTGGTGGGTGCTTTCCTGGAGGTCCTGCGCAGCTCTCTCATGGCATCCAAGCCCTGCAGAGGTTCCAAGGAACGCAGCAGCACTGCAGCCCCTTCTCCTGTGCAGAACAAGAGCTGGGTTTAGTATGGGGTTGTTTTTTGGGAATGCCTCACCTTTCAGCCCACTGCCGGCAGCACTTCAGCTCTGAGCCTGTGGCTCAGCCCGATGGAGGAGGGAATGGCCTGGGGCACCCAACGATGGGTGTCCTTTGATCCAAGGGCACTCCCTTCCCTCCTCCACATCTCCAGTGTCCTGTAGCTCTGTGCCCTTCATTCTGCAGTGCTGACTTGCTCTTCCCAGCTCCGCCTGATGTTGCTAAGTCTGGCTGCTGCTTCAAGGCTTGCCAGAGGGCAAGAGCTTTTTCTTAGGTCAGCACAATGTTCAGGAATAAATGTACATCTGGTTCAGTTTTGGCAGAGGTATCCAAAGCTGCTCCCAAACCCAGTGGATTTCTAATAAACTCTGATTACAGGAACTCCAGCTAACAAAGGAGTGGAGGAATGAGAGTGGATGCTGCCAGCAGGAAGAGGCAGCTTGCAGAGGGAAACTGGACAAAGAGAAACCTGGGAAGGAGCTGCAGGCACTGGGAGCAGGCACTGCGGAGGGAGCCTGGGCTGGTACCAATCCAAACTCCCCCTGGAGGTGTAACAGGTGGGATGAGCACAGCCTTGGGTCACTGCACAGCTCCAGCAGTGTGATTTGGATGTGCCAGGGAAGCTCTCCCAAGGCAGGGACCTGGGGCAGGACAGGGCTGCACAGTCTGGCTGTGGGATGTACAGCCTGGGAGCACCACTTAGAGAGGACCTTTCTATGACAAAAACTGAACAAAATGGACAAATTCTTTTCTCAAATGGGATTTGCCACCCTGTCAGAAGACTAGGTCTCCTGCCCTCCCAGCTGCTGCAGTCAGATGACAGTGAAACAAAGACACAGCTCAGAGCAGACATTCCCTGTCTGACAAGGAAACATTTCCCTGGTGTTTTCCAGTGGCCAGCAGGGAGGTCTTCTCCTGCTCCTGAGTGGGTGAGGAGAGCACTGGCACAGGGCCTGTGTGCAGCCCCACACAGAACTCCCCTTGTGCTGGCTGCCCTCCTGCCAGCATCTGTGCCGTGCTGTTCCCCCAGAATTCCCTCTCCAGCCTCAAACATCTGGATGCTCATGCCTGGCAAAGGCTTTCTTTGTAGGCACTGGCAGATCCCTAAGGACCTGTGATTTCCCAAAATAGAATCCCTCTCATGTTTTGTACAAATCCCACACTAAATTACCCCTCTGGGCTCCCAGTGAGGTCCTGGCTCTCTGAGGTGTGCCAGCTGCCCCCACTACAGCTCGGTGAAATCAACAGCCTGAATTCCAACAGCTGTCAGCAATCTGTTCCCAGGCACTCCCATCTCCAAGGAGAGGGGGATTGATGCTAATCTGGCAGCCAAAAGCCACTTCCCTGGCCTAACAGTGATTTAGAGCTCAAAGGTCATTTTAGAGTTTTAAGAACATGTTCCATGTCCTAATTCTGCTTTTTATCGATGCACAAAGAAATATCCTTCTCATCATGTTGCTGCCTCCCTTGCCAGGAACAACTGTGGGATTCTGAGCAATCACTCATTACACTACTTGCTTTCATCCATCTCAAATGCAAGTGGAAACTGTGGTCACACTTGAATTGAACTGAGTCCTTGGGAGTTCACATGAAGAGAGACGAGCACTTCATGTGGAAACTGCAGGTGCTCCCAGAGCAGCACAGAACTCAGCCAGGGGTACTGGGAATTTCTGTCTCTGGCTGCTTTTTCTGCATTTCCAGCTGGAAGTTTCCAGGTTCTTTCTAGCTGTGTGCAACACATACCCCACTCTGCCCAAAAAGTAGCCTTGGGAAGAGATGGAGGCAGCAGGCAGGACAACAGTGCAGGGATACCATGATGAGCTACTGCCTTCTTCCCCTCACACCTTTGGGTCCTCCCGTGCAAACTTCCACATTAGAAATTTAATTTTAATTCTCAAAGAGTAGCTGAATCCTTTTGACTCAACTCCAGAGCGCTTCAGCCTGACTTCATCCCCCTCCCAGCCTGCAGCAGGTCACTCTCAAGGGCACCTGGGATCAGCATCTTCCCAGTGTGCACACACCAGCAGCAGCAGGGCCAGCTGGGAATGTGAGATTTATCTCCCCTGCTAAGAGTCACTCTGTATGATGAGCAGCATTCAGGGCTAAAAGCTGGGATCTAACAACACTACAGAGGACAATTCTCTCCCTGAGCAGCCAGAAATCATAACATGGCAGTGAAGTCCCACAGCACAGCTTCCTGCTCCTTCCCCAAAACAACTCCAGCTCCCAGGCTTGGAAACAGCTCTTGGCCACTGGAGAGAAGAGAATTTTCTCCTCCATTCCCCCACCTGACTCAGTGCTCCTCGACACTCCCTTCAAAATCCTACTCTAGGTGCTGAAAGTTAGGGAGAAGTCCCTGCAGTGTGACCCTGGGCTGAGCATTGCTGGGCTCTCGATTGTACAGACTATTCCTTCAGATCTGGCAGCAAAACACAGTCCTCAGCAAATTCTAGAGAAATGGATCACAGCTAAGTGAAAGAGAAGCATGAGTGGCATTCATCCTCTTCCTGAGGCAAGGGAAGCCCCACATGTCTCTTAACTCTAGGGAAAGCTCTTAGTACTGAGATAATTGTGCTGCTCAGGATATACTGTAGGATTCATGCACACTAAAAGACTTTGGCTATATTTTTTTATAAGCTCTTCTCTACCACCCATGATTTCTTCAAATGTAGTGATGCCTGCCGTGGCTTCAGGCACTTGCAGCATTTCACTCAGTGATGGGAAGACCTCTCACAGTAAAATTCCCCATGATGATGTGCACAAAGATTTCCCCTTCCTCACTGACAAAGAACCTGGAGCCCTCCCATATCTCATTATGGTTTTATGAACACAGAGCTGTGGGTGACACACTCTTTCCATCCCTAAGTGATACTGGAGCCTGAACCCCAGCATAAACCAATGAACAGAGAAGGTTTATTCCACCTGGAGTCAGAGGCTGTGAGGTTGTGTATCAGAACAAATGATCCCTAAAAAGCCAGAGCTCCACTGATTCAGAGGATACACTTGTCTCGGAGCTGTTTATCTTCAGAGTGTGGTCTGTGCTATGAATAAGGACCAAGCTATGCCACAAGAGATGTTTTTGGTTTTTTTTTGCCAGGGTTCTTTGTGTTTTTTCACAGCCAGAGTCAAAACAAAGTTTCCAAGATCTATCCTATATCCAGAAATGCTTTTGCCTTTTACCCAGGTACTACCATGAAGATGACTCCCTCAATCCTTCCCTCAGACTAAACAACAGCAGAATTAAACAACTCCTTCTCCCTCTAACTGAAGAAAAACAACTCAGGTGTGATTGTTCCCCATATTCTTTCTTTCAACACTCCTGCATGTGAGCAAATACACAGAAGGAGCAGCTCCTGTTTTGTAGCTGCCATCAGTGAGGCACAACATGCACAGCCATGGTATTGACTGCATTGCTGTGACAAAGCTGGCAGCGACAGCTCTGCCTGGTGTCACTCGTGTAACATGACGGGGAGGAAGTTTGTAACAAAAAAATCCAATGAATTCCAACACCACAGGGAGCCCTTTAACTGCTTTGCTACAAAACAAAATATAAATAAATATAAATAAAAATTTCCCAAATCGTGTTTTTCAACAAAATCTTTCTAGAATTCAAAGGCTAAACTTTTTTTAAATAGGAAGTATTAATCTTAGTATTTCAAACACAGAGAATCCCATCCTGACAAATGAACCATGTGCTTTCATTATCTGAACATATTTGGCAGAGCCAATGTAATGAAGTTCACATGTGTTCATCCACCAGACTCCAGACCCCCATTTGAAAGTCAGGCTCTTCCCCAACACTATAACCTGGCACTTTTTTCTGCTTGGTTTCTGTCCAAAGGCCAAAACCTGAGCATTAATGGTCACAGTTACAGTTGTTTTCCATTTAGGAATACAAAGGCTTTTTAACATTTATCACTGAAATAGTGAAAAAGAAAGTAAATTGGGTTTGATATTTTTTTCTAACAGCGAGTAGTTACCTAGGAAACACTTGCTGCCATTTCAAGGTGTGTAATTAAACAACAGCTTCATTGCAAGGCACATACTGTCATTCTTACAGGAAAGGAAAAAAAAGAAATTTTCAGTAATGCTTGTTAAGAGTCTAGAAATATGGAAGGACAGTTTCAGTAAATTCCAAAATAATTTAATTAGAGCTTGATTATTTTTTCTTGAGAATAATAAACTATTGGAGATTCTGTAACAGTCTGGGTATTTTGATTTTGATTGGGTGGGTTTTTTTGCTTTTAGATACAGCTAGACAGCTAAAATGCTCCTACTAACTCCTTGCTTAAGCTTAGGATATCTCAGACTCTTTGTTTTCCCCAACATTTCCTTAAGCCTCAGAAGATAAAGGTAAGAGACAGAGGAGTTTCCTGCCATGGCAACAGACACCAAGATTTAGGCTGTCACTAATGACTCCAAATTTTTCTCTACATCACCACTTTTGAGGAACAAGGTTCACTGAATCACATGACTGAGGCAGCAGCCCAGGTAATCAAAACTGAAAGCTCCATCCTATCCAGATTCTCCCTTGTTTCTCAAAATCTGTGTGCCTGAACAGCTCCCATAGCTCCCAGCTGGGACAAACTGGGCAGCTGGAGATGGGCCCTGCCTGCTGTGCTGTGTCCACAGGTACACCATGATCACAGTGGCAAAGCCCAGGCCCCATGGGATGATGATGACAGCAAGTCACTGACACCACAGAGAGCTCACAAGTGACTTGCAGCACCACTGTAGCTTGAAATGTCAGCCCCATCCTGCTGGCATTGCATCTCTCTCAGCCTCAGCTTACCTTGGCTGGAAACATTCATGCAGAAATAAATCCCGTAGATCTGATACACGTACAGAGTTCCTGGTTTCATGAACATTGCTGCATTCCGCTGTGTTTGCTTCCCACCTTTTGAGTGGGAAGCTTCATCTTCCCCACCCAGATAAGCTTCTGTTTCAACAATCCTGCCCCAGAGCTCTCTGCCATCAGGAAGTTTGCGAACTAAAATCTGAAAGAGAGGTCAGAGTGCATCAGTTACCAGCCCTCAGTACAAAATAACCACAGCAAGAGCTGTGGAAACACAGAAGTGGGAAAGATAGGACCTGATGGTACTAAAGCCTCTCCAGTTAGCAGTCTGTAAGCCAACACTGACTTTTTCAGCTTCCAGTGCTCAGGCCACAGCCCAGTTCCAGGAGTTCCTACCTGTCACTCACCCCACAAAATGCCTGGAGTGTCTGGATAAAGCAGTATTAAAAAGAATCAGTTTATGATCCTACATATACTAAAGCCCACAGAGCTGCTTTTGTGGTTATTTTCTGTATTCTCCACTCCAATCCATCAGGTTTAAGGCAAAAATCACCGCTGACAACAACCTTGAAGCATCATGAATGTATAATCTTTAGATCAGAAGAAATATGACAGTGGCACAATTAAATAACTGCTATGATTAGACAGTTTCTCTCCCTAGAGATGTTTCAAACAAGTCCCAGTCCCAAATAACAAGAGATAATCAGCTCTAGAGAGAGCATCAATGCTATTTGAGTATTTTATGCAGCACAGAGAAGGGCAGTGTGGGAGAGCTGGGAATTGGCTTCAGGCACACAACAACAGAACTTTGTTATTACAGTGTGTTCTTGCTGCTGGTACCTCCTTAAATAAAACAAAGCAGATGCAGGGGAAACAAAACACGACAGTCAAGAGATTCTCTTTAAAAATAAAACAACCACTGAACTTTGTACAAAGGAATTTGTGGTTTGACCTGATTTCTAAACTTTGTGCTTTACTTAATGTGTATGAAATACTGCAGCAGGGTCTTGTTTGGGCACCAGCTATCTGTTTAATTATAACACTTTAATTATGCAGCTGTTCAAAAATGACCTTGAGAAAACCAAGCTTAATTCCTAACAGATGTTTGTGCTGGATTGCTAATGCAGATATTGATCTGATCCATAATGGATGCTCCAGGAGTTGGTTTCCAAAGCTGCAGCTCTGGTACACCACAGTTTCCCTACAGCACTTGTCAATCTGTTGAAAATAATCTGTTTATTATTTTTTATGAAAAAAAATAAAGCACTGGTGTTCAGCAAGTGCCTGGGAATGCCCCAAAACCAGACCCAAGTGGCCACATGTCTCCCTCAGTATGATGAAATGCAATGATTAGGTTATGGGTTTAAAAGCATCCAGGCATTTCCCTGTCTTCAGACACACCAAATATTCTTTTGAATAAAAAAGTTTAAAAACAGTGATCATTCCCAACACCTCAAAGTAAGCCACTTCATAAAGGTTATTTTTCTCATTGAGGATGGATCTTGATGTTTTGGCACTTCCCTCTGAAAGGCCATTTACTGCATGTATCTTTTTTGTTTCCAAGAACTCAGGTATCATGAAGGTAAGCAAGATTAATATACCAGTTGTCTCCAAAATTTGGTAGAATTAAGGTAATGAAGGAAACACTAAACTACCTTTATGAGAGAATAGGCTGGGTCATGGGAGACTGGGGGTTGTACTTTAAAGAAAATGTAAAATTAAGATAGAAATCATGTGGTTTGGAATAGTAGGCCTAAGTAGGAAAAATACAGAATTAGAACTCAAAAATCATCTGCCTGGAATAACTGAATGCATGAGGGTGATGGAGCCATTAAGACAACAAAAATGTATCAGTAATGGGAGAATTCAGGCATCCTCAGATAGACCAGGACATGTGCAATGATTTCTTAGACACCATCAAATGCACAGAGCGAGGACTCAGGAACCTCATGAGAAGACTCACTTCTCAGATCTGGAGCAAAACACAAAGTCTTTTCCAAAGACTTATTCCTGAAAAACAACTTAGTATCATGACTGTGAAGGATAAAGTTCAGTGTCTTTTCACAAGCATTGAAGTCCAAAAATAATCTATCAGAGTCCTGCCTACCAGCAAAAAGAGGAAACTACGTGAAGTGAGGGAGCTTGTTGGGAAGAACTTTAGAGGCAGCCAAAGGTTAAGGCCTGAAAGGCAAGCCTCTAGCAGGATGTCTGCAAAGATAGCAGCACATGTGGAGTATCACAGAGAGGTGAAGGCAGACCAGAAAAAACTCAGCAGGGCTGAAAAGCAGAGCAAAGGCGTCACTTACAAGCAAGATATCCTTAGAAAATAAAAAAAGGCTGGATGCAGCAAAACAAGCCAAAACCAACAGCTTGTGGAACAAATTCCTGAAGTTATCTAAAGCCATGAGAACCCTGCAGACAATAAGGGTATAAAAAAGACTCAGAGAAGATAAGACCATAGCAGTGAAATGGAACACACATTTTACAGCTGAGTTTAGAAGGTCCCCGACTGGAACTTTTTATAGAGAAAAAACTGAGGGAACTCCCTCCCCTGGAAACAGCCAGAGTTTTCTGAAGGACTCACTAAGCAGAAGAGTGAATCTCTACCACTCTGATTTCCAAAGGCTCTCAGCAATGTCCAAAGACTCCTCAAAGTTTAGGCAATGGCCTAAGGGAGAAGTCCTTGCATGAACAGGTAATGAATTGGAAACTCAGAAACAAAAGATAGGAATAGCACTATTTGGAGTGAAGAGAGCTTAACTGTGAACTGTGCAATCCTTAGCATAACAAGACAGTAAAATGGAGGCAAAGAAGATGTTGCTGACTGCAGAGCATTACTTTCCACTGGGCTAAACAAGAAACAAAAAAAAAAAGTAAAGCAATTGCTGAAAGGAAAATAATGGGCCTGAAATAGCCTTCAAACCACAAGCAGCTAAGCACATTTTAGTAAATAGAAAAAGGGAGGAAAACTCCACCAAAAAAAAAAAACCTCAATTAAAAATGTGACAGACTAAACCTGAAAAATTACTCCTCTGACTTCATCTAGAATAGATTCGGCTACCGGTCTTTAAATTCCACTGCACTTAGCAAGAGAAGGAATGAGAGCTGTATTCCTAAAATAGCCAAGCCTGGGAGTCAAATGGCAAAGAAAGAATTTCATCCTTTTACACCAAGTTATTGGCTAGCACATGCTCCAGTACAAGAATCTTGGTGCTCATGTCCTACCTGTCCCAGAAACGACTTGGCCAGACTAACACAGGGCTGGTTGAAAAAATCTTCTTGTAGCTGAGGAGATGTTTTTTTCTCTATCACAAAATATTTGCTGCTTTTTGGAGAAGGATCTGTTCCAGGTGTAGTGTTCAGCTGCTCCACGGCATCGATCTGAGGGAAGCTGGTGTTGTTTTGAAGAGCACTTAATTGAGCCAACAGCTTTCTTTTTCTTGGCATAGCTCTAGAAAATAGATAGAAGTATAATTAGGATTATAAAACTTATTTGAAAGCAACTCATTTCCACAAACTTCTGTTTTTACACATCTCCCCACAACAATGGATCTGAAAGCTATGACTACACGGACAACCTATGCAAACTGCAGCAGCAGGTGACAGATTTAGCTGTGTTTGCACCAGGCTGGGCAAATATTGGGCTCTACTGATGAATAAACAGATTGAGTATTCATCTTTTAATGACTGCAGATAAAAGCAACTGTGCTCCACTAAGCATTGAAAATAAGTTTGCTGTTAGGTTAGAAAATTCAGAAAGTGAAAGCAGAGATGAACCAGTAGTATTGTACTTTTTACCTACAGCTAATGTAATCTTTTAAGCAGACAGAAAAAACAGAAAACAAGCACTTCAGAAATTGTGCTGCCACAGAAAGCCCACAGAAGTTGTGTATCAACCATTTTCAAAGGTAATGTAACAGGATCAGAATTTAAACCTCCACAGGAAATTTACAGCTGCCCTATTCCCAGTCACAAACTCGTTTATTGTGCTGCAGAAGTGTTTGTGTTAGAATCCCCCCAAAATGATTCAACTTACCAAGAAGATTCAACCCACTGCTCCAGCCCACAGCATGGACCCGAGGCAACTACATCACATGTTCTTCTGGTTTGTCAGCACTCTCTTATGTGAGCTCAAGAAAGCTGGTGTTATGTCTCCAGTGCTGCAGTCCTTATACCTGCTGAACAGACATAAGCATTTATTCACTGGATAAAGTGCTTTGAAACAGGCCAAGAGATTCTGGAGATCTGACAAAGAGTTGTGATGCCAAGAGTGCACCATTAGATCAAACTGCAGAATAATTTGCAGTTTTCTGTTGGTCCAGAAAAAGCCCATCTCCCAGTGCTGGAGATACTCTTTAGCCTTTGTTTTTCAGTGGGGAATGCAGTTTTCCTATACTGAATACACAGAAAGCTGAAATAAAACTTTTCAAATGCTCCCATTGGCACTAAATTTAGAAAGTGTCAGCCTCAAGAAAAGGACTTTTACAAGAGAATGCAAAGACACCTGTTCTACTTGAACCACATGTAGATGTAAGGGTTCAACATCATACAGATTTAGAAATGGAGAAAGAATCCTATACACATGTGAACCTGCAAGCAAGTATATACATCAGTAATTAGCTGTTTCCACTAATTTTTTATAGATCATCAGCTTTTAAAAATTATTACTAAAACTTTCAATATCAAAACCAACCTTTATTTTGGTCTGCTGATTCTCACAATGAAGTTCCATCAGCAACAGTTTCTTTTCACTACAGTGAAACAAATTCAGCATTGCTACAATCTGAATCACCAGTGCCAATTCCCCAACAGTGTTATGTTTCACTTCAGAAGAATCCAGACATACAAAAATAGGCAGGAAAAAAAAATCAAATCACATTGGCATGACTGGCAGAGAAGTAGGATGGTTTTATTTTTTTTCCTGAACACCTAATTCTTCATTGCAAAAATTTGATGGTGTCAGAGACTTGCCATAGAACCACCAGCTCCATGCCAGGTACTCTGCTCTGAATTGTGGCTCTTACCTGGTGGGAATTCTGAAAAATGTTGTCAGAACTCACTAGCTGCCTCAGACAAAACTGTCTGGTGACCTTGGCAAATGATTCCTGTCTAGGAGAAAGTGCTGCAGGAAGGAAGGGCCAGAGGAGGAACACTTCACCATTTCAGACTGACCCTCTGAAACACTCAGTCAAGGCAGCACTTCCCACTGAAGACAACACCTCCAGACTTCTCTGACACTTTTAACTGGAACTTCCAGCTCATCAGCCACACATAAAGACGTGCTGCAAACATGGCTGACTCGAGTGGAGCATTAACTCATTTGGTAATTTGTGCTCTTATGGAATGCGACACCAGAAACAGGATCTGAGCTGCCTGGCACCTACTGCACTTCCAATTAAATCATTCCTAAAAGCTGCAAGTGCTCTTATTGACATGTTACAGCAGCAGCCTCAGGGCACTTGTAACTTCATTGCTATGGGCTGATCCTTGACACATCTCAGCATCTTCAACAGAAACAGCAGCAGGAAATTGCCTTCCAGCCAGGAGAAATGGGTCATGTACAGAAACATGAGGGCAGAGTGAGGGGCTACAACACCAGCTTAGAAACCCAGAAAAAAAAAACATTCCACCCTCTGTCTCCCTGCTTGTTCACAGTAAGATCTGAAACACAAAGCTTTATGCCTCAAAGCCCATCTACACTTTCTGGAAAATATGTTGCTTTTAAATACAAATCTCTTCTTCCCAAGTAAAAACACATTGTAGAAGGTAACACATACCACAGATCCAAGCTCTGTGTATTTGGGAAGCAAAAGGCACAACCTCTTCTGTAAGTCTATATACAAATTCTGCAGCTCTTCATTTCTATCTAGATTTTCTTGCTTGTATAATAAACAAATTTTACTCCTGGGCCTCAAATAATGAGCTGTGTGTTTAATCACTTTTTACTAATCCTGTTGTAACCAAATTAACTACAAGTTACTAAGTACATCTGGGAAACACATAGGAAAAAAAAAAGGTATGGAAGTCAGAAAAAGAAGATCAAGAGCTGAATCAGCACAAGAGCCTAGAGTGTTCAGGGCTTCTGGGCTAATCTCAGGCAAGTGGTTCAGGAGCCTGCAAGCCAGAATTGGAGAGACACTGCAAATCTGTGTAAAATCCAGCTCAGCAGCAGATACACCCTGTAGTCAAGGCACAACAAAGTCTAGAGAGGATTCTTTAATCCTTCTAACAACACTGCATTTGCAGACATTTCCTTAGCTATTTAATGAGTTTTCATGAAAAAAAAAAAAAAAAAAAAAGAAACAGAAAAAAAATAAATCCTGCCAACAATTTGCATGTGCTTTTGGCTCCCAGGTCCAGATACCTGCTAAACCTTCCTCAGGTACATCAATTTTTCTGACAGAATAAAGAAGAGTACATAAAACACTGGAGAGACAGTTCCTCACAGCAATTCCCAGTTGTACAGATTTTAAGTGGAAATACATGCTAGGTCAATGCTGGGTCAGACCAAAGGATACCTCTCCCTGTATCCGGCTCTCCAGCCCAGGTCAAGAGCAGGAGCCTGGGGAAGAACAGAACAAACATCCAGTGCTCTTCCACACATCCTCCACGTCTCTGAACTGGAACCTTCTGATCCAGGCAGTCTTCCCTAGGCCTCAGTAAGAGTAGCCAAAGGGAGACCTTACCAGGGAAGAAAACTTCACAGCATTCGCTATTACTGCTCCAAAAACTCACTCATTTTGTGTGAGGAATCTGCACTGCTTCCCACCCACATGAATCAGTTTACACCTGCAATTCACCACCCTCAGCCTCTTCTTTATCACTTTAAATAAGGCAAAGCCAGCTGGAAACACTGATTTTCCATGTCATCTACAAACCATCCCTGCAGCTCCCCAACAGTGACCTCCAGCCACCAGGAGAGCTGCCCATTTACTCACATCCTCTTTCCTATCTCTGCAACAACTGTGTATTTATGACAGGGGAACTCCCTTATTATGCCCAAGGCAGCTCAGGTAAAGGGCTCCTGTATAAAACCTTTCTGAAATCTGAGTACAGACTATGAGCCAGAACTCAACATGCTTATTTAGACCTGCAGAAAATTCCAGCATTTATTTTAAGGTATGACTTTTAAGCCACATTCATTTTCCCCCCTAGATACTTCTGCAGCCATCCAATAACCCTACCTTGCTACATTTTCTATTAATTCACTTGTTAATGGTCAAACTTCCAGGTCTGCAGTCCTTGGATTTCCCCATGAACCCTCTTTAAAAATTAGTGAGACATTTGCTGCTGAAACCATCACTAGCAACACTGTCCTTGGGGGCTGCATCTGGTTTGATAGTTTATTCCTGCCTGTTTCTGCCAGTTTGGCAACTTATTCCTGCCTGTTATTACTGTCTTTTTTTTTCCATAACCTTTTAAACAGACATTTTAAGGCAGATCCTTCAGTGAGTTCTCAGCATGAATGATGTCTCTCTGCCTTTCCTGTCTAGTCTACCTTATTAATAACCAGAAGTAATAATGGATAGTTTTCTGGACAAGTGTGAGAAGCGGGAAAAAGAAACCTTGAAAAAAAGAGTGCAGGCATGAGCTAACATAACCATAAATATAGAGTCAATTTCTCCACAGACAGATTCTGACAGCACATGCAATCCTAATACCTCAAATATATGCTAAAAGGGATCCTTTTATTCACCTTACTAAGTGCTGGGGATCTCATTTCCTTGCAATTCAAATCCTCCAGACTCCCTACCGGGCATCTTGAGGTTTTTTTGGGGATGAAACTTAACCCATGCTTCTGTAAAGAACAAAGAAGGTAACAACGAGCAATGACGAAAAACCAACAAACAGAAGCCTTCACAGCAGAATTACGCTCCGTTTTGGCTGAGGACACTCGTGTTTCGGAGCGGAATCCAGGGCCGCAGCGAGGGGCGTGCCCGGCAGTTCTGGGCAAAGCCGGCCGGGCCCGCTCG